TTGATATTTGGGCTGTCGGGCTGGCGGAATGGTTACTTAGTGGATTGGGGCAAGGTGTCTTGTAAGTCTTAGGGGTTTACGGGGTTAGAGGGTTTAGGGGTTTTGGGCTTTAAGGGGTTAAGAGATTTAGGGGTGAAGAGGTTTAGGGTTAGGGGTTTAGGGTTTTTCAGGGTACTGTTTTAGGGGCTTAGGGCTTTTTAGGGGCTTAGGTTTTTTTAGGGTTTTATTGGTTCAGGGGTGTAGGGTTTAGGAGTTCTGGGCTTTAGGTGTTTAGCGGCCGGCGGGGGGAGGGAGGGCATTCTGGAGGGGTAGGGGGTTTCTGGATAAGGACGGGGGGGGGGGGGAAGGCTGCAAGTTGACAGATGCACTTTTAGTTGCGCTCTCCTTTGAGTGGAGCCTTTCTGGCAGGCAGCGCGAGCTGCAGGAAAGGGAGATGAGGATGGGCCTGCTGATCGTTACTGCAGCGCTTGAGCCCGGCCTTTGTTTTGATGCGCAAACTGTTTTCTTCATTTTCGCAGGACTTCTCAGCTGTCTTCGCCACGGCTCGATGCCTATCTGTTTGACGACACCTTTTGTGAGCTTGTCTGAGCATGTCAGCATCTGGGCTATTTGGTTTGACCTTGATGAGGTGAATCGATGAATCCCTGTCAGCTGTTTAAATGCTTTGAATCCTGACTTCGCAGCCTCCCAGAGATGGAGTCCGCAGGCCGTCTCAGGCCCAGGAAAGAGGATGGCGCCATCCAATCAAGCGGTCACAAGGACCACCTGCAAATCTGTTTAAGTTTAAGTGTCGCGTAGGCTCCGAAACTAGGTGTAGGCTCAGCGTGCAGCTGAGGAGACCAGACCAGCTGCAGTGCGTACTAGTCCAAGGATAAAAATTTGAGATGGAGTTGTCATCCAGCTTCTTGGCAACCGCCTTTGGTGTTGAGCTGCGCGTGGAAGCGCCCAGTACCCAGCCGCAGCATTGGCTCGGCCTGCGTCCATTCCTTGGGCTGTGGTAATCATGCTGGGCCTGCTGAGACGCTCGCAGGCGCAGGGTCTATGATTTATGATCCTCAGTGTCCTTGCGGTGCTTTGCAGTCTGGAAAGGTGCGTTTGGCGCTTCGCTCAGCCCCTCGGCGCGGAGGCTTCGGGTCGCCCAAGGATCATGAGCCAGTGCGGTCCTCGGCCTGGCCCAGTTGTTTGCTTCCAACAAAACATGGGTGTCGCTCTAAAATCACTCTTCTAATTCTATGGGTTTATATGGGTTTCGTTTCCTTTTTTACTCAATCCTTTAAACACTTTGCAAAAACCCTGGCGCGCGGAAGGTGGCGGAAGCCCAGCAGGCGGTCGGTACTATACCACATATGAGGCGCTAAAGCCTTACGTTATGAGACACCGCAAGTAAACAAGATTCTGAAAGCTTATCAAAAGGCATGGGGGCTCCGGAAACTCAAACATGTCCAGCCTCGCAAAACGCAGTGTGCTAGGTCGTTTGTCCATCCCCAACGCCCTCAAATTGAAGGGCCCCAAATGCATTTTTGCAGCCTCGCAAAATGCCTTGTGCCAGGTCTTTCATCCATCGCCCAGCACCCTCAAAATTGACAGGCCTCACGAAGCCAAACGCAGGTCCTGTGTTCATCGCCCCCAGCCCTCAAATTAAGGGGACCCACAAAGCCAAACGCGTTGTTGCAGCCTCCTCAATCGCATGATGCCAGGTCCCGTATCCATCCCAGGGCCCTCAAATTGAGGGGTCCTGCAGCAAAAAGCGCAAAGTGCCAGCAAGGGTTGATTCGCCTAGTATTGCCGGCTGGTTTACGCTTTCACTATGGGAGAGACCCGTTTTTTGGCTAGGCTGTCGGTTGCAGGACGTTGAGCGAATGGAATTATTTTGTTGCGGCGAATCTACATCAGTACGGAATCTACGACAGTATGTATACAGCAGCAAAAATGTAAGCATCAGCACAAGAGAAGCAGCATCAGCATAAGCAGAAACATCAGCACAAGCATCAGCAGAAGCCTCAGCACAAGCATCAGCATAAGCAGAAGCATCAGCACAAGCTTCAGCATCAGCGTAAGCAGAAGCATCAGCACAATCATCAGCATCAGCATCAGCATCAGCATCAGCACAAGCATCAGCAGCGGAGCTGTTGGAGTACGTAATAGCCATTCCGCATCACTCTTCGCGGATTTTTAATGGACGACGTTATTTCTGCCTTGTGGAGTGATGAGTCTTCTTACCGACGGATGCTGGAAAAAATCCACCGCTTGTGGCATCATGAGGTCTTGCGGCTGCGAACCTTGAAGTGCGTGTGCCATGCAAGTTTTTGAAAACTCGTTACCGAACCACAATGGGTCCAGGGACTGTCCTGAAACCCAGCAAGTCCATTCGCGATCTCGGTGAGGCTTGGATTGAACGTTGGATGGCCAACAGGCGTGAGGGCCAGGCATGGACGCAGAGCGTGTTCATGATGGATCCCACTATGGCTCCTGTTTGCTGTATCAGGACAACATGGACTGGTTTTTTCGCGTATTCAATTCCACTCGCATCTACGAGGCAAGATCACTCGCATGGGTGTAGACGTTGACCTGCTTATGCAGTCGCCTAGCAGCAGCCTCATCCGGTGCAGAACTTCCTGAAAAGCTCTCCACGATTCTACGGATTCGTTGTCTGGTCAGCGATCATCGGCGGGTGCCCTGCATCTGCCTACGTGCACAGGAGCTTCTTTGCTTCAGAAGTCAGAACGTGCTAATTATCAGGCAGGTCAGGGTGTGCGTGGAGGTACTGCTGGAGCCGAATGTGGGACCACATTTGGAACTATGTCAATCAGGTCCGACAAACGTTTCAGTGCTGCCAGGCTCAAGGTATGCTCATTTGCCGTCTGCACACGGCTGACCCGTTTGGTCGGAAGACTGCTCTCGTCTGTTGTGGGAAGATCTGACCAGGGCAAGCTATACCGTCACAACCCCTATGTGTACCCGATCCCAGATGATGACGAGTGATCTCAGAGGCTCCTGCAAGGTTCTGCATTTGAGTGCATCTCCGAGGGTATTGAAAGTTCCCTTCTCCGCAGGCCATGCTTGGGCAGCGGTAGATCTGAGAAGCTGTAGTTTGATGGCCCCACGGCAACATGTCATGGATTTCTCTAAGCAACTCGCGGCGTGCTCTCAGCCAAGCGGTTCGATCGGATCCGCTTGAGCGAGATGCCGGCTACAAGCCTTTCTCCGCAAATTGGGCCTTTGACAGGCCTAGCTGCTGGCTAGCCGACTTAGACTCAACTGACGATGCTACCTCAATTATCTTACTTACAAAGCAGACTTTGAGGTCATAGTCATAGCCATAGCAATACAAGCCCAAAAGCGACAAATTCCAAGCTGTTTCAAGACTTGGTTGAAAACTAGCGAACCTGCTGACGATCACGATCATTCAACTTTCTTAAGCTGCAAAATGCAAATGCTGAGCGCCTTCGCGACAGATGGGGCAGAGTTGGGTGTCGAAGGTGGCTTCAAACTTAAGTTGTAAAACTTGGGCCACCGTTTCGGCAAAGGAAGAGGACAGGTTTTCAGCAACCTCCTGAACACAAGTCACCAGCCGCAGCGACTGCCGTAGCCGCCCTAGCTCGAGTTTCCTATTCAAGTATCTGAGGCAGCCTTAGATCCTGCAAGTCTATGAAGAATTGTGCGGTCCTTGTGCATCTTGCAAAAATACCAGCAGCATTTTGGCTCGGCCGGGTCCAAGCACGGGCACATGGCCGAGGCCAGCAGTTTGCTAAATACTGTTGATACTAAAAATCCTGCATGACCTTAGTATGCTGTAGTACCATAATTCCCAAGGTATAAAGAACTAAGTAAGGGTCAATAGAGGGGAATGCGGAACGGCTTGCTCGGAACCAGGCTGCTTGGGTCACGGCGTCTTAGCCTGGCAGTTATGCACGGCCCACAGTTTAACTCCTGTGCAGCATGTGCGCAATTTTAACACATTGAAGAGCGAAGACTTGAGAGTCAAAAGGTCAGGCAAGCTGAAGGGCATCTATGATGCTTTAGACCACGGAAATTACAAAAATGCCGCCGCCTCGACATTTGTACTGAGCAGTGCAAGGTTGCCTACTGAAAAAAAACAATTCAAGGCATGCAAGCTGTGCACCACGTTCCTGCAGAAGCAGCCCGCACATTCGCCGCAGCCTCAACGTAGGAAGTGGCCGGAGCTGTACTACCTTCTATCTTGGGACAAGACAGTGTGAGGCTCGCGCGAGCACTCCATGCCGTTGCCCTGGAGCGCTGTGGTCGCAAAGACGAGGCAAGCTTTGCGCACCTGAAGTGGATTCATCTGCATTGCGCTGAGAGACGTTCCGGTTGATGATTGTGAAGTGTACTTGAAATTTATAGTCATAAGCGGCGGCCCCGCAAGCTTGAATTATATGGGGTACATGGCTGCCTTGGCAACTGCCAGGCGGTGCAGCTGTGTCAGGAGACGGTTTCAGCAGGAAAGGGCCTCAGCCTGGACAGACTTTCTGCTCCCTTCTTAGGTCTAGGCCTGCACAGAAGACACGACACGCCAATCAGAGATAGGTCAAGGGATGAGAGTTTCTAGAGCTTTTCAAGGTCAACCAGACTGCTAAATTCACACTTGTCGCGCCATTTTGGGGGCTTCGGTTGCAAAGGCATTCCTGCGCCAAGATTGCAATTCTGTTTTGAAGGATTTGGGCCAGCGCACGAATTGACCGCATGGTCATTTGAGTGCCAGGTCGGGATTATGCAAAACGGGCTACCGGGCTGCGAGGTGTTGAGGTTTTAAGGTGTTGAGGACGGAGCGTCCTTCTTGTCCGGGTTTGACACTTGGCGGGTTGGGGAGTATTGTCCACCTGTAAAGAATTCTCCCCCCGGGCGATTGATTCAAGCCCCCCTGGGGCCCCGGACTGCTGATTGCGGCGGGATCTGGCTGGCTGAAACCCCCTGCAAAGCCTGAAGCCCCTGCAATCTCTACAGAGCCCAGAGCCTTGGCTGAAGCCCTTGTCTCTAACAAAAAGGGGGTCAGGCGGGATTTCTCAAGTTATGATGGATGAGGAGGGGTTAGTATTACGAGGTGCTGCGGCCTCAAGCGGAACAGGCGCGTACCTCGACGACACTTGTCTCAACACCCTGCAGGCACAGGAGATGTGATAGAGACAACCTTGGTTTTTCACTGGTTTTCGCTCCTGATTGTGCAAGTGACCTTGAAGCTTGGAAGGTGGTCCTCCGGCGCTGCAGGCACTGGGAAGCCATCACGGAGATGTTCGAGGTCCAGTGCAGCCTGCAGATCATTTTGGTCATGCAACTTTTGGGCCATGGCTGGAGGCTGCCTGGAACAGGGAACCGGACATGGAAGAGCAAGCGTCTTAGTGTAGAAGACTTGCCTTGCTGGTGCTGGAAGTCACCTGAAGCACGAGAAGCACCGCCTGGCCATGAACAACACAAGCAGCTCCCGAGTGTCCAGGTACGCGTCAGCACTTTTCCTGAACCAAGTCCGGCTCCGGGAGTTTTCCAAGGCACAACAGGCGCGCTGGGAGCGAATACGACCTCTTGCAAGTTTGGCCGACAAGAGCTATGCAGGTGGCTACGAAGATGTATCGGAAGTTCAATAAGGGCCAGTACCTTCTTTGGGCCAGATGCTGAGATGCTGAGCCGGTGCCAGCCACATTGGACCAACATACGGAGCTGCCCAGGTCATCGCTACAATTCTCCTGCAAGTTCGGGCGTGGTGTGGTTTGAATTGGATACTTTGCCATAGCCTTGGTATTTTGTCAGGATGGCGGTTCGCTGAAGATGCTTGACCTAGCAGTGATGATGCTCCAGAAGGTGCGCATTTAAGTGCTATTCAGTTACATGATGAAAGACATCATGACTAGAAGAGCTTACCATGCCCTTCACCGACCTACCTCTTGCTGCTGCGTGTGCCGGCTGGGTCCAGGGCTGCTTGCTTCGACGATACCCATGGACTTTTGGCTGGCAGGCGCCGATTAACCTCGATGGATTGAAGGACAGCAAGGTGCCCTTCAATCGAGGCCGGCCGCAAAAAAAAGGTTGTCCCGCTTGGGTCCAGCTTAGGCCGCACGATCCAATCTCAATCGGGTTGGAAAGTAAAAATGCTCTCTCTACTTGATAGCCAAGCCTCCAATCCCAGCTAAGAGAAACACGTCAGGTGTAGTTTCTGTGTTTGGAGAAAGAAACCATAGTTTATGTTTGGCGAAGACACGGTTTTCGCAGGTATCATAGTATTCATGGTTTCCATGCTTCATTAGGATAAGCAGACTTCAGGGTTCCTGGCAGCTGTCGTAGCATAATTTCTGCAGGTCTACTCTACTTGTTCCTCCTGCATCTCAGTACCCTGCAGCTGCAGCAGAAGCAGGCCTTTCGCAGAAGCCTTGTCCTGCTGTTTGTTCCTGTTTGTTCAAGATTGCACCTGGAGTCTCTTTGCGAGGCTGAGGCGTTGGAGATGCTGGAGGCCTCAACCAATCTGCCCTTCCAGACGTGCGCTTAAAACATGTGTCGTCTGGCCCGGTGCTGGAGGCTGGAAGGCCTCTGCTCAAGCTGCCTTCCGACCTCTCGTCGCTGCGCGCGCGATCCCTCAGTTGATGCGGGCAGATCAGTTCGAAAGCATCGTTTGACGTGGAGTCCAACAAGCAATCTCGCACACTGACGAGATCAGGTCCAGCTTCTTTGGGAGGCGCTGCTTAGTTTATCATGTTTGCAGATGTTTGCAAACTGTTCGCAGCCTGTGAAGACTGCCCATACATGGCTTTTGAGGCCGGAAAGCGCAAAGAGGCGACACTTGAGGCCCGGGCTTTCTGCAAATTTCGACGCCAAGATTTGTTCAGCTGGCGTTTTGAAGCGCCCTCACTATTCCTAACCAGCTCAGGCCCGAGCGCAGGTCATCAACAGCCCCGGCAGTTGGTCTGCTGCCCAGGCGCTGCTGTGAGCATGCCATAGACTCTGGCTCCGCACTAGCTTTGCATCATGATCTTACCACTGCATGGATACATCCACAAGAGTAGAAGTTTCCTCGGAATCACCCAACCTGCAGCTCTGATATTCGAAGGGATGGGAGGCGCATTTTTAATGACGGTTTTTGGCTTAGTCCGGGCTGATGGAATCTGGGGACCCCTTCAATGGCCTGAAGCTGCGTCCGGTCTTTTAACACCAGGACTACGCGCGGCTTGTCTTTGACCTGCCTGTGCCAGATGGCTTTGATGCCAGGGGGCTCAGAGCAAGTGACCAAGCCCACAAATGCATCCGAACGCGTCGTGCCAGGCTTCACAGGGCCATGCTGCTCGATTTTCTGGCATCATTCCATCTGTCTGGGCGCTAAGCCTTCAAGTCTGAGTGTGTCCTGTCTCTAACCAATGTCGGCATGAGGTGAGTGATCTGGAAGATGTCAAGTCCAGCTGGACAGATGACGAGGCTGTGCTCCAAGAGCGATTTTGGTGCACCACTTGCATTCTGAAGACTGCTCCTAATGCATGCAGTGCGAGAGTGTACATGCGGTAAGTTTTGCGACAGCTTTGGAAAAGCTGAGGCGTGGAATGCCCTGTTGCTGTTCCGACACCTACAGCAGGTGGAGGACACAGCGAATTTGAAAGCTCCTGCCAGTTGGATGAGAGGGCAGATTCCCGAATAGATTAAAAAGGTGAGGAAGCAGCCTCTACGCCCAGTTATTGACTCTGTCAGGAGCAAGGGCTCAGCACTGGTGGCGGCAGTGGAGTGAATCGTGTCGCTTTCCTAGCGGAGCTCGAACTGCGAAGGCATCCGGGAGGATTGTACATGAGTGATGCGTACTGTAGAAGTTCTATGATAGAACATGCTCACAGTTGCTTCCGCCTTCGAAAGTGACTGGGATGCTGTCGATGTTATACAGGTGCGCGCTTGCGCGGTCGCAGTTCGAGCAAGCTGCCACCACGGCAGACTTGCAGGTGGACGGGCGTGTTTGGCAAAACAGGACAGCTTGGCGGAACGCAAACGCCAGTTCAGGAGATGGTGAACGTCATGAGCACCTTTGTGCAACGTTTTGCAGGAAGGCAGGGTGCCCTTCGTCGACTGCGTATGCTACGCACATCTAAGCACCTTTCGCGACACTCCTTGATAGGGCCCATTGCTTCTTTGATTTGAAGCCACATCTGGCATGTCTCTCTGCCAATACCTCAGCTGCCATGTGATGAGCCCCGCAGTCCATCTCAGGTGCCTGAAGCAACTGAGGCAGCTGATGCTTCACCACTGCTGTCGTCAGCAACAAGCGGTGAGGCAGGCTTCACATCGGAAAAGTCTCTGCTTGCGAAAGTGTGGACGCAACCTGGCCTATGCTGTAGATCAAAGAAGTCTTTGCCCAGGCACGCGAGGCGGAGCCAAGCTTGCGCTTCAACTTGTTTTGTCCCACCCACCAGGTTTTGCGAATGCACACTTCGAAGATCTTTGAAACCTACTGCGAGGCAGTGGTGCTGGAGGCGAGGTTGCAGAGATCCCTCCGAAGAACGGAGGGCGTCGTAAGGGCCTCTATCCTTGTCCCGGGTCTGGCAACTCTGGCATGCTTGCTTTTATCATGTTTGCTTCCAGATTGCTCAGGCTGCCACGGCCGAGCAGTCAGCATCCGAGGCGCTTGAGTCAATTGGGCTTCCAAGTTGCACGCAAGCTGCAAGATTATGCAGGAAACTGAAGCTTGCCGGTTGGTTGAGACCTGGGTTCGATTTGGAGGCAGTGCCAAAAGTCGTGGTGGGTGCTTGCGTTCGTGCAGCCAGACTCTGCAAATCTAGGCGGCTCCGGAGAGAACAGCAGAAGTCCTGAAGCGCTGTTGCAGCTTGCTGCCTTGGACCTAGCTGCACAAAGCCTTGGTGCAATTTGGCTTTCTGCTGCAAGCTTTTAGATACAACTTTTGCAAGTTGACATTTTTCCGAGATGGTGGCTCTGATGGAAGCAGACAGATGGTCACCCAATAAGGCTCAGCAGCACTTGATGGAACATAGCTTGCTTTTTGCAAATCTGACTGAGCAGTGCATCGGCTAAGCTTCCGTAGTGTTTTCCCGGTGTCGCAAGTTCCAGCTGGAAGCTGATAGCTTGAATATGGATCGCAGGGGGATTGCTTGAAGTCTCACTCTGCTTATCCTTAGTTTCCTCGCCCCTTCTGTTCTCGCAAATTCGAACCTCTCGCTTGCAGGAAGTGCATCGACAACACCTCCTTGATGCCGTTGTGCCAGCTGCTTTGTCAGTTGCCTGCGTTGCTGGTAACATCTGTGCTGTTGCAAGAAGCATCAGAAGAGAGTTGCCCTGAGACACCGCTCCAACATAGCCTTGGTCAGACTGGAGAGATGTGACTTGCGACTACTGCTGAGGCTTGCGCAGCTCGGCCTTGCTGAGCAAAAGCACGCCTTCGGCTTTAAGGTTCCGGCTCACCGAAGCAGCATCCAAGAAAGGCGTTTTAGGTTTGCATTCCTTCTGTCCGGTTTCAGATGGAGGTGCTGCTGTTGTTGCTTTACAATGCTCTCGGCTTGCCGGTTTTGATGTCCAAGCTGCAACTTGACTTCGCCAGAAAGGGTCCTGCTCCTTGTATACAACTCAAGACAATGCTGCAGCCCAGGTACAGCACTATGGACATCAAAAACATTCAGGTCAGCGTTCCCCATCAGCGTTCCGGCGGCCACCCTTTTGCGATCAGCCTGGGAAATTTGGTTGGCCTCTTGTTTGGCTCGAGCACTATCAGACAGCCTGACCAACCCTTCACACAGTGCTCTAACAACATGTTCAAGCTGAAAGTTTGCGAACTCCTCAGCAACATAGCACACTTGCCCTCGCCTGCCGTGACCATGTAGTCGGAGCATGGCTCCCCGCCCCTGCCCGGCAGGATGCACTCGAGAGGAGGTTTGGGCAAAACTTTGTTGCTGCTTTGCGGAGCCCAAGTTGCAAACGGGAGGATGACGACACTGCAGACGCAGCTCTTCCTGAGGCGATGCTTTCGCCTGAATCGCAACAAGGCTGCATCAGTGAGGCCCAGAGCAGTGGCCAAGTTCCCTCCTGGATATGCGTTTCTGAGGCAGGCGGGAACCCAGTCCTTGCAAGGCTCGCCTTCGCCGCCCCCAACCTAGTAAGAGTGCAGGAAGCCTGCAATGTCCTCAACGCACAAGCACTTCGATGATAGAGGCCGGCAGCTGAACAGATCGACTATGAGGAGTTGTTTGAGATCCTACGAAAAGGCTTTCATGCGGCATCAAGGGTCATGATGTCATGGTTGCGAATTCACTGTGGCATGTCACAAGAAGTCGCTGAAGGGTGTTGGAGCACTGCTAGGCTTCCCAGCCGATGATGCAGAGGCTGATGCTGGTGCAGGCACCTGGCAAGCTAAGCGTCCTATCAAGACACCTGAGCAGGGAAGCTGGTGATTGGGTGGCTTGAGGATGTCGCTGGCGCTAGGTGCAGATGAGGCGTGTTCCAGCGCGACCCATCAGACCCCCGAGAAGAGCACCGTAGTTGAGCAGGATGCCCTTGGGCAAAAGTGTCAGGCTTGCGGAAGTGGGCGGAGATGTTAGTCCAGGACGATGCCATTGCCGCAACCTAGATGCCGTGTTCATAGGAGCTTTCTGCAGATGGTGGCTCTGGGGGCATCTTTGTACATAGTGGTCGGATGCCCAGCAAGTGATTCCGATGCCAGGGTGTCTTGGAAGCAGAGACATAACTGAGAGGTCTTGTGCCGGACGGCCCAGCAGCGAAGCGTCCGCGGTTTCTTGGTGCTGCACTTGCTGCTGTCAGCAGCTGTTGGAACACCATCTTGTCCGATGTATTGTGAAGGATGGATTAATCTGACCAAGGTTGAATGGAGTGAAGGCGCATTGCATGCTGCATGTGTCTTGCTCGAGTCTGGGTCTTAAGGGGATGAATTTGCTAAACCGTTATATGGACTGAGACTGCTGAAGCGTTTGTGATCAAGCAGCATTGTGCCGGGCCGACCGCGACACGAAGTCATGGTGGAGCCCTTGATTGCAGCTGTCCAGCCTGTGAGACTCGCGCATGGACGGAGCCAGGCTGGCGTGCACGTGCGTGTGGCTGTGCTGCTGCTGTGCAGCTTTCGTGGCTTGGCCCAGCCAAGCGCCTCGGGCAGCTTCGCTATAGATTGTTCCATATCGCTGCAATGCAAGATGCCACAAGAGCCACACTTAGGAGCGCCTGCAGCCAAAAGCACTGCGCAACAGCCCCTCAGCTTGATTGGCAGACATTGGCACGGCATTTGAGGGGGCCCAATCCTTGCGAGGTCCGACTGGCGGCATGATCTGTCCCCAGAGCTCAAAGATCAGCTGCGCCATCGCCTGGCTGACCTGAGGGCCGCTTGCCTTGAAGCAGAGTGAGAACCGAGCTTCTGAGTGGCGGCGTGTACTTATGATATCTTATGATGCTTCGGATGCCAAGAACAAGACGGATCATGCCCTCCACATCATGTCTGAGAGCGGAAACAGCGAGCTTAGAGGACTGGAGCATGCGCAACTGTGACGGCAAGAAGATGTGCGCGGATGATGATAGTGTTTTGAACAAAGAGGGTCAAATTTTCCGTCGAGTCACCAGCAAGCTTTGTTTTTCGTTCAATCTGGGCCTTCTCGGCAGCAACTGCCTGAGGCATACCGCTGCAGAGTCAAGAGTCGAGCAGAAGTAAGGGCCTCTGATTATGTCAAGGCAAGGCGCGGCCTAGCAATTCCACATGCAAAGCCAGGTTCCGCAAACAGGACGAGCACAATATGCGGAAACAGGCAGGCGCAGAGGAGCTTGGATGCTGCCGCGGGCAACGGAGATCACATAGCCCTGGTAGTGCCACGCAGGAGGCCCTACATGAGAAGCTGCAGAAGCTGAAGGACCTTTGGAGCTGCTACTGTAGTGACAGCTAGTGGAGCCGACTAAGAGTGTCAAAAGCAGGATGCCTCGGAGAAGAAGCAGGAGAAACTGGAGCAGGCAGAGCAAGAAAGGCTCGAGAAGCTCAAGAAGGAGTCGGTTGGCTGCAACGCCGAGGCATCAAACAAGTCTCAGCGGATTGCTAAGCCTCTACCTAAGGTACAATGGAGAGGAGGAGAGAGTCCTGGATAAGTCCCCAATCTGAAGCAAGGGGTGACCTCTGCATGGTGCCATTCTAACGATTGGGACTGCTGAGGTTCCAGCATGAGGCAGAAAAAGCTTGGATCAATCAATTCCAGCAGCCACCGGAGGCAGTGGCATGCTTTTGTTTAATTTTAGTTACACACGCTACAGGGGAGCCGTATGAACCACAGGCCACTTCTATGCTGACGGAGATGCATGCGGCAGTCAACATGACCCAGGCGGCGGCTGTGAATGGGCCGCAGCCTCAAGATATGTTGCCAGATGTTGCCAGGAGTGATTTTCCTGGATGCGTGTTGTTGACTGCCAGTCCACTGCTGTCAAGGTCAAACGACTGGTGGAAGGCGCATTGTTTCTTTCCTTGCTCCAGCAAAATTGAAGAAGCAGGTCCTGTCCGCTGATGAAGAAAAGAAGCTCAAGGAGAGCCTCGAGGATTTGAAGGACATTCGCACGCCATCAGCTGTCAGCGATGCTCGGGCCACAGCTCTAAGCTACAGGAAAGCTTGCAAGAGCACGAGGAGGTCGTCGAAAACAAGACGCAGAAAAAGCTTGAAGCAGTGCAGGATGAGTGGCCTGCTTCAACGGTTTCGGTATTCATTCCTGCCACGATATTCTTACACCTGCTGCAAAAATGTGGAAGTGCCAACCTCGAATCCGTGGCCATAACTTCAAGGGGTGAGCTGAATTTCAACTACGCGCCGGAACCTGATCGGGGTTGCGGAGATGGGGTTCCTGAATAGAGGGGACTCCAGATTTAGTTCCGCAACTCGGGCGTCTTAAACGATTTCCAGACTTCCAGATCAAGTGTCGATCTGATGGCGTCAAGGTTTTCCCGCAAAGAGAAAAAGGCTGTGGATAAGCTCCATCCTCAGCCTTTAATTCAGTACAGCCACCACAGCGTGCATCTGCCAATGAACCTGCAGTCAAATCACAGGCTCACCCGAAAGATCGAGAAGATGCAACGGAAGGAAATCAAAGCCAAGGACCGGTCACAGAGAGCTTCAAGCTAGAGCTGCGGCCTCTGCAACCTGAACACGCGTCGGCAGGAGAAACTGCAGCAAGTCCTTGAGAAGCTACAGGACAGTCTGTTGCTGCCTGCATTGCACCAAATCGAGCACGCACATCAATTTAGTGCTGCTTTCAGACAAAGTCGAAGTCTACTCAGAAAAAGCTGGAAGAAGTTGGCCCAGAGATCGTGCAAAGGCTCAAGGACGAGTAGCTGGGACAGCAGCGTGGCAGTTAGCTCCATCTTGGGAAGCATGTGAACTCAGGTACGAGGAGAAGAAGGAGGGATTGGAAGCGGAGCAGCTGCCTCAAGCCATGTCCAGATCGAATCATGACTCCTCCTTTTCGCTCGGGTCTGGAAGCGCCAATATATCTCTTTGTAGATATGAATTTGAACGGCGAGGTTCAAGGAGAAAGCTGAAAAGTTGAAGAAGGAACAGGAGCAAAAGGAGGAGGACCGTGGATGTTGGAGAAACACAATTTTTTTTGCAGGGCAAGCTCGGGTACCAAGGAGAAAGCTGAAAAGTTGAAGAAGGAACAGGAGCAAAAGGAGGAGGACCCACGTGGATGTTGGAGAAACACAATTTTTTTTGCAGGGCAAGCTCGGGTACCAAGCATTCACAGCCTGTCTGCGTGTACGGGCTTATGTGGCTGAGAGGCGGGAGGCAGACAGATGTAGAAGATCTTAATGAGTCTTAATGGAGACGGCCTGAGAAGGCTGCGGAAGGCTATTGAAGGGACATGGGGCTCCAGGAGATGGCCAAAGAGAACGCGACGAAAGCAGCCAATGCTGCCAACAGCACGCAGGAGGCATCTGCCCATGACCATGCTCGTGGCTTTAGCTACCATCCCCACCCATCACCTGCACAGTTGTAAGGGCAGTTTTCTGCAGGTAGGCATCAGGCTTTTGACAAGGGTATGCAGCTGCCACGGAAGGCGCAGAGTTCTCAGCTTGCAAGCGAAGAGTTGGGCTCCAAGATTTCGACGCTCTTGCATGTCCGAGCTCCAAACAGCACCTAGCAGCCCTAGCGGCTGTCCTCCCTCGAAACATTTGGCCCATGTCAGGAGGGCATTAGGCTTGGAAGGCAATCTTATGAGACGTTGACGAGCAAATTGCGAGGCAGTCTGGGCCTGTCAGAAAAAGAGATAGAGACTTATCCTGCCTTACCAAGAACCAACGACTGAATGACGCGCCAAATTTGAGGCCAAAAGCGACGCAGCGGAACCATGGCTTTGAGTTGGGTGTCATCATGCTGGCTGCAACTGTGCCATGGCTGACTGTCAGACTGCCAGAACTTTGCTTGGCACATCTATGTAGGTGTTGCGAGATGAATCGCATAATGACCTGCGCCGAGGCAGCACTTGCATCTGGAGCCCTTTTGTGCCGACAAGCAATTAGCTCAGCGAAGCCGGCTTTGCTGGAGCCTCTGGTGTGAGCTACCGGCCAGTGAGGCGGGAGATGCAAAGTCAGTTTGTTCTGCTGAGCAAAGTTGTGATCTAAATCTATGAATCTGTGTATTTCAGGCATGGAGCTTGTTCCCAGGATGGCCAAAAATCTGCACAAGCCAATCATAGATCAAGTCTGTACAGATATAGTCGTTACCAGGTTTAAATCCCACGCCTCGGGGATGCATGATCCAGTCAGTGAGGGCAAACGCCCCCATCTTCCCACGTCCTCATGGCCTGTGTCAAGGCCATAGAGAAACTCCATGGGAAAATTCTTGTGGGGATGCCTGCTGTCAACGAGCAGCAGGTATAAGAGGAGTTTGAAGCCTCCTCTAGTTTTGCGCTGGCAGAGGTCAGGCGTATCTGGCCAAGTGGCCGTGATACATAGCATCAATCGGCTTGTTCATTGTGCACGCTTGACCTCGCCGGCGCGGGGGCCCTCAGATGACTTATGGTCAGGCAGTCCAGAGGAGAAATCCTGAGCCTACCTATGCCTGCAAGCATCTGCTTTCTGCGTAGATCTTTTCGCGCACCGACGCCAGTAGCTCCTCTCCTCCCAGACATATTTAGGCTTCAACAAAAATTGGAGTCTTTGTTGGGGGTCCCAACAAGGAGTATTGAGGTTAGTATTTGGGGGTCTACATTGTGGCCCTCTGTTTATGGAAATCCCATATAAGCCTAGTTTCCATTTCATTTTACATGTTCTCTTCCGTTTGATTTCCATTATTGCTGGAATCGGTAAATTGGGTTTCTTCAGCGTTCCATCTGAGTCAGGCTCTGGTTCGATCCTCCGACTTCGATAGCTACGATGGCCCGCCGCCACCAGATGAGGTCGCCATTAGGGTGCCGCAAAGTGCGTTGACAGATGTGGAATATGAAAATCCGAGAACGCTCCCCACGCAATCTACTTGGACTGCACGCCGGATTCCAGTCCATTTTTTTGGCTCCTCAGAATTTGTGTGCCAGGTTGCAGAAGCATATGCTTTGTCCAGTGCTCGGCATTTCCACTCACCTCTGTCTCTGCGAGGAAGCAGGATGAGGTGGTATCGACCCAGCCAGACTCGTAAGAATGCCTCTCGTGGCCCCTTGCTCAGGTTGAACCTTCCACTGAGCGCGCTGCGGGATGACGTGCAACGCCGGAGTCGAGCCCTTGCTCGCGAACGGCACCCTGACAAGGCAGCGCAGTCACACACAAGCAATTAGTAAGTTCATTGGTTGTCCTTTTGATGTTTGTCGTCGTGCTTTTCTGCTGTTGAAGGCACCACCAGACCAGCGGGTCACTCAAGCTCATTTTCGTGCCGACGTCGCCACCATCCTTGGCGTCCATCACAAACTGTTGACGCTGCACAGCTGCCAGGTTAGAGCAACCCGCCTCTTCCGCCAGCTTCAGGATGCCAAGGCCCGTGACCCAGCAACTCGCGCGATGAAAGCAGGCTCAAAGGCCGCATGAGCTTTGAAACTCAGTACGGTAACTATGGAGACCGCACAGGGAGCACCTCATATCATGGCAAAGTATGTCAGGCCAAGATTCTATCTTGGTTGCGACAGAGAAGCGTTCCACAGTTGGAAGAGAAGTGGCCTCAGTATTCTTCCGTCTATAGAGCTCGCCCGGGGTGACAACAGTTAATTCGCCTATGGCAATGTATCTGTCATGTTGATGCAGGTCGGATGACTCTCCATGCTTAGACAGTGCAGATGAAGGTGAGGAGGATTTTTGCAGGCAAGCGTTGCATTGTGCGACAAGCCGCAAGTCACCTTCAGTAAAATTGATGGACCAGGCCCCCCGAAGTGGTATTTGGAGAGGCTGGAGATGCAACAGCCCAAGCACCGAGTGTACTGGCGTACATTGCGTGCATGTATGTTGTTTGCCGTGAGGTCCTGGCAGATTTTGAGCAAGACGGCTCAGGAAGTGAGCTTGAAAAGGAGGACCAGAAGGCTAATTGTCGGTACACCTCAACATTTTGTACGATCCAGATGTGGTTTGTTGCAGCGTGAGCTGACATGCCAGCTCGAGTAAATCTGAGCACTTGCGAGGCAGCTTGTGTCTACAGAGGGCGAGGGGACTCACCGGACACATTTTCCAGCAGCTGACGCCTCGGAATCCTTTGCATTCAGGCTAGGGTTCTCTTGCTCACATGTTGCGCAGGTGAGGAAAGCGGCGAAGAAAAGGCCAGGACATGGTGATATTCTTGCGGTCACTGTCCATTGGCTCCTCTTCTAGGAGCACTTAGTAATCAACTTCGTAGGCAGAAACTGCTTTGGCGCTGCGGAGCAGGGGCATCATTCGCACAGAGGAGAAGCAGAACTGCTTCAAGCATAATGCATGGCAATGCATTGAACCAGCATTCTATGTTCATTCATGACAGCATGCAGGACTCTGCGCTGGTGCAGGCCACAGCGTGCGAACCTAAGCAAGGAATCATGGCCTCATCCGAGATGGCACCTTTATTAACGGCACACGCTTGAACGGTCGCTCCAGAAGCAGGGAGTTCCGTAGTATCCGTAGCTTATGTTTCTTGGGGGACTACTGGACTTGATCTGCATTAGCCATCAGGACGTCTGAAAGCCGCCGGCCGCTTGAGTTTAGCACATTTATGGCATCAAACGATGACTACTTTCTCTCTATGCGGGAGGATAGTGGTACTGGTATTCAAGATGGGAAAGAGACAAATCAGATCCTTCCATCATAGGAAAATACTGGATGCCGCTGACTGCGCCTGAGGTTGAGTCACTTCATGGCGTCCAAGAAGCGACGTCCGCAAGAGATGTGCCGCAGCCCTGAAGCCTTGAATTCGGCAGATTGACTGACCGTAAGCATTTAAACAGACCAGGACAGACCCCCACTCTTACATTACAGTAATGGACCCAGTGCACGCATCCTGCAACGAGGCAGTGAGTGCTTCCAACGAAAGGCGAGCAAAGGCTCAGACCTGTGCTGCTGCCTCAGATTGTAATCGTGTGCATGGCATTTTGTATCATTTGAGGAGCTGAGATCGGCCCCCAAAGCCCTTCAGGTTCAGAGTGCCATGAAGAGATGCGTCAGCTGCGGCGATGTCTGGCGCTTGGAAAGAAGCGGATATATGACTCGAACGAGAATAGTGCAGCCACGATAGAGGTTGGATTCCGTCAGCCCTCCTCAGACTCAGGTCTCAAAGCATGACATACTGCTGCCGCTCCCATGGCGTGAGGATGTGCGTAGGATTGATGCAAGCCAAATACTGGCTGCATCACTTCCATCTGTGAGCTCCATGCGTCGGGCAGCGTTGCACGGATTTAGCAGCCACGCTTGGAGCGCGACAACGGAGAACAAAGAGCTTCAACGCTTGAAGTGCACTTGGGATGATGTTGAATTCCTTTTCAGCCCTGCGCAGCATGAGAGCCTCTCCTACCTGGTCTTTGATGCTCTGGGCAGCACTTGTCCTGAGCAGTTAAGGGAGGCAGGACGCTGCGCTCATGAAAACTGCTACCAAGCGCATTGCCGAAGGTTTGCCGCAGCATCCACGCCTTCCATGAGGACCAAATTTGTCAGGAGTCTTGTAAAGGAGGGCTCTATCTCAGTGCTTTACAGGACCTGGATAGGGATGGCACTGATGCCCTTAGCGCTGCTTTCGGCATGCAAGGTGCCCCGGATCAATCCAGAAGCAGTTTACGTGATCTTTCGACACATTCGACACTTGCTGCACTCACATGTTCTCCCTGAAGGCATTCTCTGCCGCGTTCCGGAATATGTCGATTCAATTGCCCAGGTAAATGGCTAAGAGTAGTTCCACCAGCCTTCGGTGAAAAGTCAGTTGTCAAAATGTGCGAGTCTGCCAGGTCAGCCAAAGTCTGATGTGGGCCAAAGCTACCATTGAAGAGGCGCATGAAGCAGGAAGCCGCATGTACATGAGCCTTGCCTGGACGGCCAGACAGCGGCAGATCTGGCTGCAGCGACATCTTGGGATGCATTTGCAGAGTGCAGCGCAAGGCCCTCTGCAAAGCTCTTGAAAACTCGATGATGGATGTAACTGGGCTGCTACTTCTTCCTTAGAGCTGCAAATCTTCTCAAGTAGACGGTCTCAAAGTCTCAGCATGCTGTGAGCGGAGGCAGTTTCGCATGCTGTCGATGGTAGCAGACCGGCCATCCAGTCATTGGGCAAGCAGGACGTAATCCATGTTGTTTGCAGTTGAGGTTGTGTCATCATGTGTCATCTGATGTTAGACCATTTCAGGGCAGCTGCCAGGTCCCACAGTGCGTGTTCCCTTGCCTGATGTTTTGTCTCTGCCCGGCTTTGTTTGCCAGGAACCAAGACCGAGCTTTGCTGAATGGTTTGCAACAACTTCCATTTCTCTCTGCCAGCCCTTGCCTCGACTCTGAATTTGCTCGGCCGGCAAAGTATGAAGTCGGAGTTGGTGTGGTTTGTGAAAGGTGACATGCTTGGAGGCACAGAGGCTGGGGGATTGTCTTGCAACAAATGGGTTGAAGTGCAGTGAATGCATTGCTCTTGCAGGGTGACAGGCTGAGGCCTGAGCCCGAGTCATTGACCTCCTTCGCTACATCCTGGAGCTGTAAAAAGCGGCCTCAAAGAAGACCGGATTCGAAAAGCCGAGGGGCTGCTGAAGAGCTACTGGATGGAACAGCAAATCCTGCTGCCCAGGTTGCTTTTGCAGGAGCAGCGCTTCAAGTACTGGGACACATAGCTTGCAAAGATGGGCCGGTTGAGGACAAGTTGTCCAAATCTGTTGAGTCCGCGCGTATTGCCCTCACAGAGCTCTGGGATGGCACGCCAGACTTGCAATCTGCCACAGCTTCCATGGCAGAGGCGCTGCAATCCAGTGATTGCAGCTGCTGGAGCCAGGTGACTTCCAGCTTTCAAAGATTCTCGTGGGCCTGTACTTATGCCGCTTGCGAGATAGCCTTGCTGGTGGTCAGATCTTCTTCTGGCGCAGAGTCCTGGCAGAAGCCGACCGGAAGCCTTGAGAAGCTTACTGCAGCTGTCGGCAGCGCAGTGCAAGCTTTACGCAGGGGTTCCCCGGAGGCTGGAGCTTTTGCTCCACCACCTCGAGCAGAGGACCAAAGGCATCCCTATGTGCTGGGTTCTTTTGGTCCATCCTGCCTGAGCTCCATGCTTAATTGCTTGCTCACCTTGATTCCGGTGGCAATTTGGAGCGCTCAAACGCTCCCAAAATCTGGATCCAAGAAAGCAAAGGCAGGCCAGGAAGACCTCCATGCCTGCAGGGTAGCTTTGAAGGACCTTTGGCAGGTCCTGCTTCGGATCGCAGATCTGCAGTCAGATGCGGCGGCTGCAGCAAAGATGGAAGGAAGCGAGTTGCTTCCAAAGCCGCACGATTCAGTCATCAAGAAAAGCCTCACTGGCCCTTCGCTGGAACAGTTCGAAGCGCTTCGAACTGAGGTAGAGGCCTCGATACTTGAGGCACAAAGGAAACAACTCAAAAGCTTGGGGGACATGCTGGGACAACGCTCGGCGCTTCTGAAATCTCGTGGTGCCTTCAAACCTTGAGATGACAAAGCTTCTCCCAACGTTGCAGGACGCAGGGATCGCTTATTGACACCGCGGTTCGTGGCTCTAGCTTCTAAACCGCATCGGTTTCACGAGCATGTCAGACGCATTCCTTTGGAGATGGTGTCTGGCAAAGCCAGGAAAAGGATGCCTTCTTGGTCAGCTGTTGCGGGTGGATAAGGTTGCAGTTCGGCAGGACCACTCTTGATGTGCTCTCGCCGCAGCATATGGAAAGATCACATGGAAGCATGCTAAGCACCTACCAAACTGCACTGGCAGCTTCAGGGGTAGCCTTCTGCAGCCCGGCAGCAACCTAAAAGGGGAACCAGCTTGTCTGCTGAACGTACACGGTGACCCCGCTTGCGCAGTCCTTTTCAGTACTTTCAATGCTTGTCAGTGTCCACTTCCACTGGTTCTTAACGTGATAACGTGTGCCTTTGGCTGCTGGCCTCTGCGGGCCTCTGCGGGTGAGGGCCATGCAGGACGCTTTTGTCTTCGATGACTTCAATTCATGAAGCATGCTGAGAGCCGAAGCCAAAGCAAGAGCTGGGGCGGTTCAGTTGTCGTAGAATTTATTGTGGCACCTCAAAGAACTTGGCACAGTCTGCTCAAACGCAACTCCGCGCAGTCGCAGTATGCTCCTTTCGCCCAACTTCCGCCGCCAGCTGGACTTGTAGGCCAGGAGCGAAGCCTCCTTGCAGCAACTTATTGCGAGAAGGATCTTGCCAAGGCACTCGTTCCGAGCCCGTGGTTCTGCCGCCGATCGCTTAGATCAGCGGCGCAGAACCAGCTCCACGAGTTGGAAATGTGATCTGTTTCTCGTTCACAACCAGCTCCTCAAGACTAAGAGCTCTGCCTGTGACAGGGCAGCCCTCAGTGACTCGAAGGCTTCCGCGGAGCAGGTTGGAACTGAAGCAGTTCAAGTTGTTGTTTCTTGGAGCCAGCAGCAAGGACGCGCAAAAGATCTTCAAGCTGGCTCGGGAAGCTTCTGCCTCGCTTGTCCGCATGAGCAATTTGCAACAGGTGCTCGTGTCTTGCATCATTTTTTTGTTGTAGCCTTTGCCGCATTCCTCCGAAATGAGCTGGAGCACCATTTCGTTTGCAAGCTTGGCTGAGGTGGTAACGGATCACGACAAGTGGTTATCCACGTTGAGGGAGGAGGAGGCAACATAATTACAAGCAGCCCTGTGGTCTGGCTGCGCTCAGCAAACAGCTGAAGGGCTTTTTGTCTCAGCACCTGTGAAGTGCGGAAGGCAAATCGGAAGGAGCGGAAGGATCTCCTGCGGGTCGTTGCGCAAACCTCTGGGCCTGTTGAAGTGTGATCCTTGGAACATCTTAGGGCTCCGAAGCTGCTCACATCAGTGCTGGCGACCCGCAACGATCAGGCAACTCTGAACTTTGAGATGCCGAATGGTGCGCAGGCTCGCTTTGACTGTGAGTGGCTCAAGGCTTGCAGGTAAGCTTTTGCTGAGCTCCTAGGTCCTTGTTATAGTGAAAGCACCTGCGTGTTTCTGTCAGGCGACAGAGAAGTTGAACGTCGAAGCCACCACCGCGTTTGAGCTCTACACCAAGGTTCGCTGGTACACATACTACCAGGGCAATTAGATCAAAGGGGTTCATGGTGTTTGCAGCAATGCCACTTGGTTTCCTTTTAAAAATCGATCCCTGCAAGGCGTACGAGCTCCTGGTCAACAAAGACACCCTGTGGAAAATTACGGCGACCTCCCGAGTCGTCTGACAGAAGCCTCAACCTGTAGCTGTCCTGAGAAGCTTAGGTTTCTGGCCCTACAGCTGGCTCGGCATCGCCGATCTCTGTACAAGTCAAAGAGGCCCCAGAAATGCGCATGCACCATTATGTTTCCGTAGGGTTTTTTGACATTCGCCGCGCGTCCAACTGGCATGCACCGCGCATCCAAGAAGCTTGACCAGGCAATGTATGGGCAGAGCTTGGCCAGCCTGGCACCCATTGCATGCAGTTATCCAGAGGCAAGATGATCTGTGTTTGAGGCCTTGGGCTGAAAGCAGGCTGCAGTTACGCAGTGAAAATTGTACAGTGAAGATGAGGGCCAGACTCTGTCAAACAGACCTCCAACCTCTGAGCAGAAGAGGCAGATCAACTTAGACTGCTGCAATGCCGGCTCTGCATGAGCATCACCTTCTCAGGGCGTGCGACCAGTACAGGGTGCGAGCGTCTGGAAGTCCCCTCTTTTGCAAAGGCGATGTACATTTCAGCATTTGACTGTTTGGAAGCTTCTGTGGTATTGCAATTGGCATGTTGACTAGCAAACTTCCGATTCTGCCCGCAGCTTTCATGCTCCCACGCCAGCATGTTTGTGGGCCTTTCCTTTTGTGGTTCGCAGTATACCGTATACCAGCAAAGTTTTCAGGTGTAGATTCAGGCAAAGAAGTATCAACATGAAAGAGCAAGTTCAAAAGCAAAAAAGTTACCATGCGATAAGCTCTGCAAAGGGATGTTGTTAGCCTGGTATTGCAGAGGAACAGCTTGTAGAATTCCATGCAGACGGCACTCTGCCTGTGTGGCTCGGGCGCCCAACATCCCGGGAGGATCGGCTCCGTACACGCATGCAGCGATGTGCAGAGAATGCGCATAGTTAATACTTACAGAGACCAAACCTCTTGCATTCTCTTCTGGTCTCTGCTTACCTGGCGGAGTACTGTCTTTCACGCCACTGCTTTCTTGCAGACTTAGCCTTGTAATTATTATCCACGCAGCTTGTTTTGCAGGCGACTGCTGCAAAATCTATGGCGCCACAAAACGTATTCAGTATTGGGGAGGGGGGTGGCGTTTGGCAGTCGCATTGGGGAGGCAGTTTTTCTGTGCCAAGCGTTAGCTTCTCAAACAAAACTCAGGTTTAGCCTCAGTGTTTACGAAAGCCTGCTCCTGATCCTTGGACAAGTCCAATCCAGCCTATATCAGATCAATAGCGGAACCAAATCCCACTCATTTCCCATCGACTTTTGTCACATCTTCTGTTGGCGTTTGCATTCCGAGCTTGACCGGGTTAGTCTGTTGATACATCAATTTGGCGTTTGCATTCTTGGCTTCGCGCAGTTCATTCTGGTTTGTGGGTACTAGAAGCTGCATCTACCTGACGTTGCAATTGGGGATTTGTTGCGTTGTTCATATTTTGGGCCGGGTGCCATCGCTTCTGAATCAATTCTTTGAAGTTGCGTCTACTTGACAATTACGTGGGCGCTTGCTGTTGGTTGGAAGAAGGAGGATGGAATTAAATGTTGACTCAATACTGCAGGAGATGAGCTGCTGTGTGGCGAGCCCTGCGGAGTTGCAGGCAATTCTGCTCGCGACCTCTGTATGAGCAAGTCGGTCATTACAGATTGGGTCAGTTGAGCACCAGGGGGCTAAACATGACTAGATGCGATGAGATGTCTCCTTGCCGTCTCAACCAGCAGCTATCTCCACGATGACCCCAAGAGCTGGGGAATTCCATTCCTAATCGCTATATAAATATAAATATAAATAAATATATATATATATATATAGCAGCCATTTTGTTTACTTGAGCCTCGAGGCGCTGCTGAACGAAGCACAGAGCGCCTTGGCGGACTCGCGCAGAGTACTCTCCACCACAAAGAAGGTGAGAAGTGAATGCGTCTTTTCGAAGAAGTTTAGTCATACTAATCCAAAGTCCACTCGGGTTCGCCGCCAGGCGCTTGCAGACACGGAGCGCTCTCTGCGCGACCAGACTGAGGCCCGACACTCGTGTATGGTTCCAGATGTCACAGCCCACCCAATTCTCCACCCGAATGTGTGACATCTTGGTACATGATTGCTACAGTAGGGCGTTAAAGCAAAGATAAAGACATGAGCTACTGCCAGTATTAGCATTATTAAGGTGCCCTTCACAGTGGACACAGGGGTCCCTCTTGTAGGCGAGTATAGTCCCTAATATATTCCCTAGTAAGGAACCGATGTCCATTTAACTATGTAGGAAATATTGACTGTAGCTCATATGAGCGCATTCCGGCGACCAGGGTGCAGCAGAGTCGGGAATTTTTTCCAGCCATGGCTCATTGGACGAACATTGACGCATGTTGCGGCTTTCCGTGGCACAAGGCTTACGGCTGTCTTCGGCGCTGCTTTGACGGTGCAAATGCGCCAGTTGTCGCTGTGGACTGAGCTCCAACTCTAGCTGCTAGCTGCTTTTTGGCCTGTGCCTTGAACACTGGCATCAAGCGGGCAACAACAAGTTTCGTGTAGCAGCACGCTTGAACTGCAACAGTTTGCAGCCTGCTGCTGTGGCCTCGGTAACACTCTGTATTGAGGCAGTGGACCGATACGGCCTGGTCACTCGATGGAACAGGAAAGCCGAGGAGGTCTTCGGCTGCCTGTGCGAAGCAGCTCTCAGGCGAGCTCACAGCAGCCTTGCATGCTTTTAGCTAGGGATTCCTGGAGTTTTTTGAACTGGGACAGGAGACCTTTCTCTGACTTTCTTGAGAAGGGCGACCAGCTGGGCTTGGCTGACTTACAGGAGTCTTGGCTTCAAACACTGATGGGGTTTTTGAGGTGTCTATGATTTGCGTGGAGCGTCGAGCCAAGGCTGCCATAACGTCCAAAGCAACGCTGCACCTCAGCTGCAGCGCAGGCAGACAGCACCATTACATACCATTACAGGGGTGCAGATCTTTCGTCACGTGCATGCTGCAGGAATCACTGTTTGACGCATGTCCCAGAAAGGCCTGAGTCCATGACCTAGCACCTAGCCATTGCCTTAGGTCCCCTGGCGGTATCGCCCACTTGCAGCGGCGCTTTTGCGTGCGGTCTCGGGCTGCGGGGCAGCCGTGGCACGAGGCCCTGATCTAGCCAAAAAGAAGAGGTCTACACGTCTGCATGTCGAGAGTAACAGGGTCCAGCAGCACTTGCTCCTGGCTCATTCTTGGGTCGTGGGCTGAACTGTGCATTTTCTATCTAGTCCTCATTGAGGTCCACCCTGCCCCAGTGTCAGTGGCTTCGTGCTAGTGAAGGCGCAAACTGGTCTTCAAGACTGCGTAGCAAAGCATCGTCCTCAAACCATCACGTTATGGAGAGGCAGGAGCCCAGAAGAGCGTCAGACCGTTTTTGGCATGGACCAACCAAGACCAACCCATGACGCGCTTTGATTCCTTACGCTACTTCAAGAAGTTGACGTCGCCTCTTGCTCGCTCGGCAACTCATTGCTCTCACTCATGATTCACACAAGATGGTGCGGCAGGGCAGTTGGACGCACTCAAGCCAAAACCTGTTAGAAATCGCTACACCTCACAGCCGCTTACTTAAGCGACACCTGCAGAGATGCATTTTCGCAAGGCAATGCAAAGATAATCTCTTCAAGCTCGAATTCTGGGCAGGTCCTCTTTCTGGCGTCCAGTTGCCCAAGTGCGACCAGCAAGGATGCTTCAGGCGTGCTCTTCATCGGCCAGGACCGGAAAATGGCATCACTGCATGTTCCGCTTGGGGCGTGGGTTAGCACGGCTCATGAGAATTCGTGCAGCAGGAAGTCACGGGCTTGCTCAAGAGCTCACACTCTTCTGAAGTGACTCTGCAAGATCGTTTGATCCGATGCTCGGTTGTTCACTGCAACGTGTTGTCAAGTTTGCTGGTACCTTACAGACAACGAAGCCCAGATGTAACAGATGCTTCTCCCGCATTAACTGGACCAGGGTGACAGAAGCAAAAAAGAACAGCTTGGTCGGTGTAACTTCTGCCTCAGCTAGAAGCGATGGTGCTTGCTTGTCAAGTTCTGTCAGGCGCAGTTACCCGAGCTGTCATGTATGCTTGTCCAAGGAGAGGTGAATGCTCCCCTGATAGCAGTGGACAAGTATGGATGTGTGGAGGAGCCGGCACAAGAGGTTCCCGCCACCATGATGTGCTAAGTTGGCCTGCAGGAGTGGAATAGAGGAGCCGAGCTGCTGACTGGCTTTACCAAGGAGGAAGCCATCGGAAAGCGATTGGTGCAGCATTTTATTGCTGACGAGTTCTCCGACTCTGTACAGACAATGCTCTCACAGGGCATGAACGGTCAGGACTGCCGCACAGACAGCGCGTGCAATTCCAGGCAAATAGGGAGCATCTCTTCACTGCTCAGCCTTCGTCTCTGCAGGAGATTACAAACTACGAGTTTTCCTTGTGGACCAAGAGTGGGCAGCGCAAAGACATTCTGTGGAGCGCGACTGCCCGCCGCGATCGCCATGGAAACATTGTGGGCGTGATCGGCATCGGACACGACGGGAGCTGAGATCTGCAGCGATGTGTCGGTTGCAACTCTAGACTCTTGCCCTGAGTCCTGTTCCAAGACCCTAACTTAGCAGACTTGAGGACATTACCGAGCTACGCTCAGAGTCCAAGATGCTGGCAAACTACGTCCGCATTTGTGGCGCGGCGGTCTGGTCCCTGAAGGGCAATGCAAAGACGGGAGTTATCACCGAGACTGACATGCAATGGCAAGCCCTAAACCCTAGCCATCCTAGCCCCTAAAGCCACTGAAAGTTCTTTGTGGTCCTGCATCGCACCGCCACGGCATCTGAGGATAGCAAAACTCGAGAAATTGAGCACTTGATCTCGCAACAGGCGCAGATGGACATTTGTGATCCACGAATGGTGCTGTGGCGGGCGTCCTTCGTTTCGATTTTAAAAACGATGTGCCCGGGCCTTAGTGAGCCTGCAGACTGCCTGTGCGACGTTACCTTGCGTTGCTACTGAGCTTGCTAGCTTCGAGCTCTAAGGCCAAAATTTCTGGATGAGACGGAAGGGAGTACAGGAAGGGGTGCATGTGCCGCCTGAGAAGCTGGGCGCCAGCACTGAAATTGTCATTTGGGCAGCAGTCATCAGTCTTTGTTATGGCAAACCCGTCCTGTCCCAGCACAATCAGAATTTCAAAGTTGCTGCTGAGGTAACGACCGACTTTGGCTACGAGTTCTGCTTCGAGGCTCCAAATGGGAGCGTGAAGTGGTACAAGGCCTAACCATCAAAGCTGCACAGCCTTTGATTCTTCAAGAAGCAAAGGCACTGCCAGGTTCACCCAACGAGATTTCCCTGTGACCTGCCAGGTGCAGGGCCACCTCATTCAAGAATGCACGCTCGGCAGCCAGTTCGAAGTTACGGGCTCCATGCAGGAAGTCACCTCAATGCTCATTGACAAAGTCATGGGTGACAGGCGGGAAGCACTCCTGATGAGTATGCCAGACGACAGGGTAGGTGTTTCAAGCTTCTGTTGCGGCCCTGATTAGGTGGCAGAAGTGGTGGAGCCGCATGTGTCACATGGTTTTCGATGCAACGTTGCTGGTGGACACACAAGAGTACCGAGTGCTGAATGCCTGGGGTGAGGAGAAAGTCTTTGGATGCAAGTTGCAATCGCACCATCCATTGCTTCAGCTCATAAAGCCTGAAGACACCGTCTCGCTGAAAGAAGCTTTCAACGAGGTAACGTTCAAAGGCTTTGAGCGTGGCCGCACCCTGCACTTGCTTCGACCTGGAAACCAGCGCGATACTCCGGCGCAATGCTTCTTGCTGTCGGCAGACCAGGAGAATCCAAATGAATGCATGATGGGTATTCGCATGCAGGTTACTGCCTCTGACGAAAATGTTTCCGTGCTTTGGGATGTAGCAAAGCCCAACCCAGTGCTTACCCTCGAAGACTTGGCGCGATTGAAGTCGGGATTGAAGCGTTCACACCGGCGTCCGTCCCGGAACTTACGGAATGTGCACCAACGATCCCTTCATCCCAGGCGGGCTGTTGATGCCAGTTATGTGTTTAGAAGCACCCGCTGTTTGACGTAGCAACTTTGTGGCATGAAAGTCTCACTTTGATGCATATAGAACGAAACAGGTCGCGCACGTCAGATCCCATCGCGTCCTCGCACTCGCTCTCTAGCATCCCTGAGGACCCGTGCCCATTCCAGTCAAGACCTTACTCAAGAGAAGTCACATGTTGCCAGTGCGCGCAGACAGATAGCTTTCTGGCATCTTCAACTTCCCAACGTGAACTTGTTGGTGGCAGGACCTGCACGGCGAGTTTGAAGATGACGATGATGTTCGTTCTGTTTCGGACATGTCTGATCGAGGCCTGTTGTGACGTTGGGCGTGTGAGACGGACTTGCAGCAATGCTCATGCAATTCAGAGGAGGATGAAGAAGGTATGTTCTCTGCATATATCCGCATAATATGCTCTAGGCTGATAGACTGGCAAAACGAGCTGTGACGATGCAGACCTAAGAGGTTGGCAAACGATGAAGGCCAGAGCATGCCTAGACAGCAGACGACAAGAACATGTGCAGGGTTGGTGGTCTTGGGCGATTCAGCGTGGTCCATTCGTGCTTCGCAAAATGAGGGAAAAGTGGGGAAACATTTTCCGAGATGCGGCACAAACTGCTGTATCAAGATGCCGCATTTACGGGATACATTTCGCGCTGTCGACCCATACAAATGCTAAATAGGTGCATGGTATTATTGTGGCTCGTCTTCCCCAGCTTCCCTTTGAAGAGAGTCCGTCGTTTCTAGCAATTCCAGCCTAATGTTGTTAACCTCCCAATGAAGAATCCCCCCAGATCTTGTTTTGCGTTTTTGGTCTACAGAGAGGGGAGGGGTCGCAATGATAAACCAGAGCGCTGGGGTAGGACCTGGTACATAGAGTACATGTAGAAGGACTCTTTTTCATCGGGATATTTTCGGGTGGACAATATTACAGTGCGAGCGTTGGATAAGAAAACAATGCAGCGAGCTCAGAGGGCCCTCATTTTCTTAGCTTGCTCTACCATGAGAATGCGGCGTTCAGAGTTTAGTGCCCACTCATTTTCTTAGCATTTTCTTAGCGTGCAGTAGCAGTTGAAAGGAGCAGGTGCTATTGCCTCCGCTTTGTTTGGTCCAACATTTGCAGGGAGCAGGCGCCCACTTTGCATTGGGGCCGTGGGGTCCTTGTAGTACTACTGTATGCCAAAATGTCTGACACGGAGATCGCATCCGATGCCTCTGGCGCTGAAGAACTGGTTCCTTGGAACTTGTTGCAAGACGGACAAGAACGAGAAGTAGAACGGACATGGGACACTAGCGTTCAGAAATTCAGTACTCATTTTCTTAATCGTATTTGCGGATGGACGTGGACGCCTGAGGATTGGATTTGGATCCCGCGGGTGGGAGAGGGTCAGATCCGACGGGAAAATGGCGTTAAGAAAATCAGTATTCATTTTCTTGACAGAATGTGCGGTTGGATTTGGATCCTCAATTATATACTGGGGTTCAGGCAACCACCAATTCTTTCAAACAATCCTTAGAGAACATCTCAGTAACAAAGCACATCAGTGTTTGTTTCTCCTTCAAGAAAAAAAGTATGGATTCCCAGAACTCCAAGGCAACCCAAAAGTTTAAGAAAATAGGGTCTGAACGTCAGAGGGCACTCTCTGTCTTAGCTAGAAGGGGCAGTGAAAATGCATATGTCTAGGAAATCCACAGCGCTGATTTTCTTAACCAATGCTTTCTTAAACAGAGCCGGCACTGTAGGATTACCACCCCCTTACTATTGCCCATTATCTTGTTTGCACCTTTTCGGGCTCGAAAGCAAACGTAGTCTTCTGGGATTTTTCTGGCTCGGCAACTATATTGTTGCCACCTCCTTTATTGCATAATGATAGGTTTAACATCATGTCCAAGCCCCACTGCAGGCTCCGAAGCTGAAAACTCCATGGCAGACGACAGCGAAAGCCGCTGCTCAAGTGCTGGCCTTGTCAAAGCCAAGAGCTGGCTTTTGCAGCATGCAGTGCTGGCACCCTTCAAGCTGAATGACACCTGTTTGCATCAATAGTTGTGAGACACGTTTTTGCCAAACCTTTGCCCAAGGTTCAGAGCATAGTTCGACGTCGAATGACGAGGGCATGTCTGAGGCCTGCGCATCCCTCCTGGAGCTTGCCATGCCTGCTGAAACTCTGTCATTGTCTGCTAGCAAAGACTGAGAAGGTCCACAGGTTGAGATGCGAGTGCGATTCCTCCCAGTAGTTGCTGTCTTTCAGCTTTTAGGGCTGGGCAGGCCTAGCATGAGGCAGAGACCATGGTCAAGAAGGGAGCTTCAGAGCAAACTGAGAGTACCTTGCAGAACACCAGACAGAGCTTGTGGACAGTCGAGAGTGTGAGTTGCGTTCCCCTCTAGCCACAGCTCGTCGGCTCCGATCACTGTTCTGTGGTACATGTGGGCAAGTTTTGAAGGCGGCACTGAGTCACAAGCCACGGATACATCCGCGATTGGGATTCCAGCGGAAGTCGAAGGGACTCAAATATCGGATCATGCTGGCGTAGACTGCACAGGAATAGGTGTACTGCAAAGATCTGCCAAAAAAGCGCTTGCAGGTTGGCGTTTGCAACAGCAGCCCCGCGAGATCTGCCAGCGAGGTCAAGGGAGACTGAATGCCACAGAACGCAACCTTCCAGCAAGTCCAGCTGTCAGGATTTCGTGCCAGGAGCACCGCATGACTGGAGCTGGAAGCTTAGCAGGTGTGCAGCGATAAGTGGAATGGAGGTTCTGTGCACGCAGCATCCAGCAATATCCAGCAGCCGTAGTGCTTGGCATTGACACTATGTCAAGTTCATTCTGAGGCTCCAATCCATTCAACCTCTCCCCGAAGAAGGGCCGTCTTCCCGATGTGCTTCCCTCAGATGCTTGCCATGCGCCTTAGGTCCTCCACTTGATATGTCCTGCGAGGCAAGCTCTCCGTTGAGAGGAACCAAATATGGTGGTGTGCCTGCAAGGAGCGCCTTTGGTCTTGGCATTTCTCCGCCACCAAGATTCCAACAATTGAAGTAGAGGCTTGCGCCTGTCAGGCAGCTGGCACCTGGCGTCTTACGCTCAGCAGTTTCCGCAAGTCTCCTGTCAGATCTTGCAGCGCCCTACAAGTCAGTGTTGCTTCTAAGGCCCCATTGCCTGTGCAGAGGAAGGCAGGATACCATAGCCCATCAAGAGAGCAGCCGCACTCATAAGGGCTGCCCGCTTCTTTTTTTTGTCGAGGCAAGGGTTGGGCCTCCCACCGTGAAGTTGAGATGGCTCTCTGCTTAGCCGCCTGAGTTTAAATGTAGGTGGCAACGTATCCTTGCTGCAGTTGCAATTGTTGCTGGACAGTAACACCCGAGAAGGTCTGGCAAGTCCTTCTCTGTTGACTTGGACGACTTCTCGACCATTGGTGAGCTTCGCGCACACATTCATCGGGTAACAGGCGCGCTGTTGTGCCCCAGGCTGCTACGGCAACTTCTCTGGGCAGTGGCATATTAAAAATGCTTGCAGGTGTGCCCGCAATGCGACAGACTTTGATTCTTGGTGGCCGAAGGCAAACTGGAGCAGTTTCTTCATGTAGCCTATCGTGCAGTGGTTTTTTGAATTGAGTTGCCAGGCTTCCAATCAGCGACGACTCGTCGCCCACAATGAATGAGCCTAACTGGCAGGAAATCAAGGCGGGATGCAAGCTCTGCACTGCAAACGTTTTCTGCAGCACGCACTTTTCGGGCAAGTTGCCTTTGGCTGCCTCTGCTTTTGACATGCTTTCCCTTGGTGATTCACATGCTGCATCTTCAAATCTACAACGCACTCAGGATCTTGTCCGTCCTGGCCAATGCTTAATGATGGTTGGCAGTGCTTCTTGCTTGCATTGATGACTTGCTGTCCTGTCGGCCTGAAGCAGCAGGCTGCAAAGGTTGGGGTTGGTGATTAAATCTATGACCTTACATATTGGGCGGCACTCTTGCCACCTGTTGCTCCATGTGAGCTTGTCACTATGAGAGCGGCTGCATTTAAGCATGCCCGCTCATCTTCTGTAGCCCCAGTAGTGCTTCTGTTATGTTTGTTTTGACTGGAAGGACGGCTACATTTTGCGTTGCGATTGCTACTTGTAGACCCTGTCTCCAGCATGCAGTTTAAGCATGCCATTGCGCACAAGTTTACCGGCATCGCGGTGTTGAGTCGCGGTGCTCCGAATGCTCGACTTGGTCGGCTCAGTCGGCTTGAGTGAAATGGAGGCCCTCAGGCCAGGGGCAAGAACTGGTTGCAGTGGAGGGTTTGTTGGGCTACCAATCGAGCACAAGGAGCACTGGATTGCGAGCACAGCTGACCACATCTGCAATGCGGCGAAACCTGCAGGAAGTGGCCTGTGGAAGGGACGCCAGCACCTGAAAGCAAACCTGAGGTTTGCCGTTGAAGGTTTCAAGGTGGCAGGGAAGCGATTGTAAGTCTGTCGCCGTGCTTCAGAAAGGCAAATTGGGGATGGGAACAGGGTGTGACGCTACAAACACATGAGCGTCGGACTAAATCTATGAAACAGGCAACATGTCTGGGCTGGTCATGAGATTGAGAACCGTGCAGTCTTGGCGAAAACCGATATGGGTCAACCCTCAACCGATACCCCCTTTGCCTCGCGTAACCTCTAGGGGCCAACCGTATTCCCATGGTCTCTGCGCTATTAGTCGGGCACTCACATTAACACAAGGGATTGGGGCATCTTGAAACTTAAAATCAATGAGCTCTAAGAGAGAAAAGGGTGGTGAAACAGACTGGCGTTGCTCACCCAGGCGCCGGACCCACTTGCAGCGCAGACGACCAGCCAAGAGCTCAAGCATTTCTGGTATGCGCGCTTGTTGCCACCAAGCTGATAGAGATCAGGTGCTTCCGCGCCTGCGCAGCCAGTGCTTGAAGCCGCTGAAGCTGCGCAGCTCTCAGGATCATGCTAGGATAATGATGCAAGTCTGCGGCAAGGATCACTGACGATATGATGCAGCCTCAGCGTGCTGCGCCCATTTCGCGAGGCTGAGCTGCTACCTGCATCTCCCACAGCTGCTGAACCTTCAGTCTGACTTGGATCATGCCTGCGTTGGCTTCATGCTGGGCCTTGTGCTGCGAAAGAGCAGTCGAGTCACTGCACGAAGTCTACCTGCAAAGTAAATATTCTCATTCGCCTTTGCTAGATGCAGTAGACCAAGTATTTCACCAGCGCTTTCGACAAACAAACGCAGAAAAGAGGTGCTTTAAACAGCATCGTTCATGAATCACGCCTTGAAGCATTCTTGAACAGAGATTGATGAGGCAAACGGGCGGTAATATGGCTAGCCTGAGAAAGCCTTGTTGGCGGTGAGTGCTATGTCACTGCGCAGCCAGGTTGCCATGACTGATGTTTGTAACGAATGTTAGTGCGAGTGTCTGCTACTCCTTTTTCATGTGAATGCGAAGCTGTTTGAGCTTACGACCTGTAACAAGTGTCGCCAGGGTTTTAGGACCCCTGGTGACACGTGGTGTCTAGGGTTTAGAGCCCTAGAGCTGGGTCAGCTTGAGTGGGCGAAGAACTGCTTTTGAACGCAATTCGACAATTTGAGCGGTTGGGCGAACTTGGGCCCACGTTTTTAGGCGAGCCAGGAAGGTTCGGCTTGCACTTCCAGGCAGGTGCGGACAGGACTTATGCGGCTGACTCTCACCCTGTTCGTGCCGGCTCTGCGGGGCTGGAGGGAGGCATGCCGAAAAAGTAGAAGCCCCAACTCTTGCACGGGCTACTGAGGCCACCGGTGCCGGCAGAGGTGGATCGAAGCCCTGACCCTGGTGGTACTGTGGCCTACTAGGACTAGTACACTTATGAGCTGTTCATGCTGGAGGAAGAGGTGAAGGTCAAGCCGACGGGGTCGCGCATCCGGCTAAGGAGAGTGGGCGGGGTGCCAGGCTCCCCCAATGAGTCGGGAGGAGGAAAGTGCGCCCTATGGAGCTCCAGAGGCGATGGGTCAGGGGAAGGCGGAGGGGAGTATTCTTGCGAGAGCCGCGGGAGCTGGACTGGATTGGAGTTGGAGCCGGAGGCAGTGCTTTCGACGCTGCCGGGAGGCGCCGTGGTTGCTCCTGCTATTCTAAGCCGAGAGGGCGAAAGGTTGTACAAGGCCCGGTACCTGGGCACAAACGATATAAACGATCATGGAGCTGCTGGGCGGCGTCGTGAGCTAGGCCAGCTCTTGAAAGTAAAAGGTAGGATGCTCCACCTTTCTTTGCCTTTCAGGAAGGTGACTTTGCGAAGTTCACTTGGAGGACGGACGCAGTGATGCAATGTGGAGGAGAGAATGGTGTGGCCGCGCCTCAGCTATAGGGGAAGCCTGCCACGCATGGCGTGCGGGCCCTGAAGGAGTTCAACGGCTCCTATGCAAGGCCCAGCGGAAGCTCCGGATCCAGGGCCAGAGAACGAGGAAGCCGTCCTTGGAAGAGGAGCCCCCAGCAGAGAGAGGCATGCCAGCGAGGGGCGAGGCGAGCTTGTCTTGGACTTCTTCGAGGACTCCCCGCGCCGATTCTGCAGGCCGGCCGGTTTTCGGGGGAAAACGAGTCAGCCGTGACCGATCGGAAGCCGCCTGCACTTACCAACCAGACTTTCGTACCGCCTCCGCAGGTAAAGAACGAAATCGTGGAGGTGAAGAGCCAGTCGAATGGGAGCCAGAAGAAGAGGAGAAAAAGATCGTCGAGCCCCACCAGCTCATCGAGCTCGGAGAGGGATTTGGTCCCCCTTTCCGCCGGAAGGCAGAGAAAAAACTAGGAGTAGAGATGGAGGACCTCCTGGAGCATGCCCGGTTGATGCTTTTCGAGAGGAAAACTGGATAGGCACGGAATTTGTTGAAGGCGAGAGCGGAAGGAGAGCTGACTTATTCTTCCAACTTTTGGAAAGAAAATGGGCGACTCGCCCCCGGGACTCCGGGACCTCTACGAACTCTACCTATATCGGTGAGTTGCGTGGATTTCCTGCAAATTGGGAGGCTAACCGAGTTAGCCGACGCTCTTGCCGGAAGGATTATGGCTCTAGAAGTGGCGGCCTCAGGTGGCCCGCTCGAGGCGATTGGGCTACGTGATTACCAAGATCCTGGAGGCCGAATTCTTCTATATGGGGAATTTGGCCAAGCCAGATACGCTACTTATTGCGCAGAAGCACGCCCGCCTCGTTGCAAAATCGCAAGAAGGATGTCACGTCTGTACGAACAAAGGAAAAGGCGGCGACCGAGCGGAGGACTGCAACACTCCCTGGAAAGGAAAGGAGAAAGGCACGGGATGGAGGAAGACGACGGCTAAGGAGGAGGAGGTCGAAAATGAGGGAAGAGAAGGTCGATGGCAAGATTGAGAAATGAGGTTTCTTCGGGGGACGGCTATCCTTTGGGTTGATGATGCTTGATGGGTACGGACCCGCGCTGGGTCCCTTCCCTCAGATATTGGCAGGGAAAATATCGGGGAAAATGAGGCAATCTGCGTAGATTTATCAAATATTGAGAACGAATTAGATATATAAAATTGGCTATCCCAAAATTCAATGATTGGAATATATTCATACCTTCAATTATACGAAAGATATGAAGATCTACTTGATTACGCAATCTCCGAAATAAATCTATCTTCGATATAGGGATAGAATTTCTTTTGATATGGTATTTTATATTTTTTGCTTTTCAAGATAATCATTATGATCTATTCATTTTGAATTCTAATTTAAATCTTGTATTTCTAGCATATTATTTCTTAATTAGAATTACAATTGATATCCTCATTATTTCTTGGATATAATATTTCTGGGTCGTAATATGAAATCTATTTTTTCGTAAAATTTGAAAATTAATAATCGATAAATTAATTTATTCTAAATATGAGAAGTGAGAAAGAAAGATAATTGAGATATGAAATACAACTTTGATATAAGATTCTAAATAATAGAATTCGATATAAGGTTCTAAATAGATTATGTTTAAAGAAATATAAATATTATGAAATATCTATAAGGCATCGATTTCATAGATTTATTAAAAGAATATAAGATTGACATATATAATCGAAATTTCTCTTCTCAAAAGAAATAGATCTCATAATGACTCGTATTATTGAAGATGATTTTTTAGATATAAGATAATTATATTTATGATTTCTAATTGAACTTTGAAGGGGGGATGCTTCTTTATAAAATATTTCAATTTCAAATATTTATCTTCTGAATATATCATTGAGAGAATATCATAGCATATGATGATAGCTAAATATATTTCGAAATATGATTTCTCGTAATTTAGAGTTATCCGCCTGCCTAGGGAAGGACAAAATTTGGAAGATCTTAATATGATGATGGGAAAGAAATTCGTTGCTAATTGAAAAAAGGAATAGAATTCTTATTTCTGTCAAATCTTTCTGCTTAGATTTGAGGTCGAATTTCTCAAATTTAGATTATTATATCGGAAAGATTTGATCTAATCATCTTCAATCGATGAGACCACGGATCGATATTCTTTCAGATATATCAAATCAATCTTTATTAATATATGATTTGAAAGGGAAATCTTTATAATGATAAATTTCTTGTCGTCGATCCAATAGGAAATCATAATTTGGAATTATTGATTATCTATGATTTTTTCAAGCGGATATTTTCAAAAATCTTTCTATATCCTTTCACCTGCGTATCTTCCAAATGGCGGATACGAACTTTGACTTCTATACCTAATATCATATTAATCTAAGAATAATAAATAAGGAATATTTAGGAATAATTTTACTCAAAGAATTAAAGTGGAATCAATCTATATATATCTGAAAGAACTGAAATATGATATATTTTTAATCTAAATCAAAGATTTTGAAAATACGTTCGAAATCCGATTTTGGCATTATCTAATCAAAAATTCCGGAGATTTATCTTAAGAACGGATCTTCAAGAATTGAATTCCTCAATATTATAACGCCGCCCTCTTGCGGTCATTTCGTTGGCGCGCGTCCTAGAATCACCAGCTCGCCATTAAAATGCCTCCTGCGAACTCCCTAGGGCCTCTCGGAGATCTTAGAGCCTTTCGGAGAAATTAGAGATTCTAAAATTGATATGGGCGGCGCGACAAAAAATCTCAGAGATTTTTAATCCCGCAATCCTTATTTCCGGAACGATTTTTCCACGTGATTTCCCTCTCTTTGACTGTTTGCGCGGCTACTCGGAGGAGAATATAGATCCGGGACGGAGATTCAAAATCTTTTAGAAATCATAGATTTATCATAAGTATCTATGAAATTATATATATTTCCCCGAATCGCCGCGCAGAGAATACAAGAAAGATAAATGAGACGGAAAGATCGGGTTGGATACGGGGACCGTGCGGAAAGCTCTTGAGATTTCGATCAATTTCTCTCTCTCCGATTATCTGCGCGGCAGCTCGGTATAGACCCTGGGCGGAGATCCAAAATCTTTCGGAATCTATTAGCTTAGCCGTTTCTGGTCACGTGCGGTCTTATATATTGATTATTCGTCGAGATTTATTTGCGATCTTATATAATTCGCGTGATTTATCTCTCTTTGATTATCGGCACGGCTATTCGGAGGAACGAATAGAGTTCGATACGGAGAATTAAAATCTTTTTGATTTTTAGATTGATCGTATCTATTCACGGAGATTTATACGTTCTCCAGAGTCGCTGTTGCAAAATCTTTCGGAATCCAGGTTGGTCGTTTTTTAATCACTTGCGGTCTTATAGATTGATTATTCGTCGAGACTCACGTGCGATCTTATATAATCCGCGTAATTTATCTTTCTTTAATTGTCGGCGCGGCTATTCGGAGGAGCGCGTAATTCCGAGACGGTCAATCGAAATCTTTTAGAATTTTTAGGATGGTCGTATCTCTTCACGGAGATTTCTGTATTTTTCCGAGGCCCCGGGCTCCCCCCCCCCCCCGGATAGCCCAAGAGAGATAAATGAAATAGAAAAATCAGATTAGATGCGGATTCCGCGCGATCAAAGGACCCCATGATCAAGAATCTCCCAAGATTTCGAGCTAGTTCTTTCTCTTTGGCTATCTGCACGGCGGCTCGGATGAACGTGAAATCCCGGGGCGGAGATCTGAAATATTTCAGAATCTATTATATATTATGGGCGATCTTAAAATTTTGATCATTCATCGGACTTCACGTGCGAATTTAGATATTGCTTGCCGGATTTTCCGATATAAATTTTCTCAAATAAATATTTTCCGGTGCTGGAAGCAAGGAGCCAATTCTAATATTATAAATAATACGATTTCGAATCTCCAAGGTTTAGAAAATATTCATACCTCTTCTGTTATCCCCATTAAGAAGATTAAGAATATAAATATTGAGATCGTATTATTAATCTTATTCCTCATCAAAATGAATGAAATAATCTGCTTTTGAAGAGAGATCTAGTCAGCTCGCGAAATAGATTCGATCTCCCAATCCGAAATCATCGATAAATAATACGATCTTCAATAATTTTCGATAAATTAAATTTATGAAAAAAATAGAAATATAATCGATAATCATATTTTATTATCTCGATCTTTCTAACTAGTTTTGAATATAAAATATATTTCGATAATTTCTTTTTCTTTAAAATAAATATTTCATTTTCATTCCTTCGCATATATAATCAAGAATCCATATCATTTATATGAAATTCTGAAATATTAAGTCATTAGAATAGATCCGCTGCTTATAATAATAGAGGATCAATATTAGAATGAATTCGTAATGACAAATAAATTGACGCGGAAGAAAATAATCTGTGAAATTCCAAATCTTTCATCTTTATATAATAATTGAATAGAATTATATTAAGGGTATTGCCATATCTAACAAAGAGCTCCTCCAAGAAATAGAAGTCTATCTCGAGATATTCCTGAGAAATAGATTTATAGATTAAATAATAATGAATCGAAATCCCATTTCCAATAATTCGCATGAACAAGCCTCTATTCTATATCCTAGAAATACGAGACTTATTTCATATCCCTTGTCGCGTGTTGCAGCGCCTCCTGTATTATATTCCTCATAATATCATGAAGAAAATCGTGTATCTAAATTATAAATCTTTGAATTTCATTTATTTTAGATCTCAAAAATTTTGAAGAATATCTCAGAACCTAAGAATTTTTCTCAAATATTAGGTTGCGCTTTACTTCTATCATCTATTTTATTCGTAGTCACATATTCATAATATTCTACGATTATTTGAATTTCTAATTTCAATTCGAATCGTGATGCGATTCTACTTCCCTCTACGATATAGAGCTAAGAATTTTATTCCCATAATATTTCATGAAATCTCATATAATAGTCGCTGAAACCATCAAATAATATTATAAAGAAAGAATATAATATTATTAATCACGAATATTTTTATTGAAAATAAAACCGTCTAATCTATAGAATTTGAACGATTTTAGCTCTCCAGCTCGGATATCTATTTTCCGCCGAGACCTCCAGTCCGATCTTCCCGCTTCATTTATTTATGTCTCTTAGCCTGGTTATTGCGCGGCGGATCAGAATAATAGAATAGCGTATAAATGCCCCTAGATAAATGCGACCAATCTATAGATTCTAGATTCTGAAAGATTTAGATTCTCCGTCTCCTTTCTATATGTTCCGCCGACAAGCCGCGAATGCTGCCAAAGAGAGATGAATCGCGCAGAACCCCATTCCGGGGAGCGGGGAGCAAGGGCCGCAGCCAGCTAAAGAGAAAGAAGTAATTCGAAATCTCACGAGATTTTTATTCTACGGCCCAAGGTCTTCAGCCCAGAATTTCCGCATCATTTATCTCTCTTAGGCTAATGATTGCGCGGCGGTTCGGGGGAGCGCATGACAAACGCAGCTATCCCGACTCTGCGCGAGCAGCCACGCATCCAGCCAAAAGAGAGATAAATCACGCGAAAAACCGTTCCGGGGGGGGCCGCGCGACCAAAAATCTCCGAGATTTTTGGTCGCGCCACTTTTCGCCAAAAATCTCGGAGATTTTAGAGCCTCTAGCTTTTCTGAAGGGCCCTAAAACCTCCGAGATTTTAGAACCCCTAGGGAGCCCGCAGGAGGCATTTTAGAGGTGAGCCGGAAAGGCTAGGCCGCGCGCGGTCGAAACGGCCGCAAGTGGCCGCACTGTAATATTGAGGTATTTCATTCTCAATAATATGAGTTGATAGACCTTTACCGCCATGTCACTCGCGCGGGCCTAGCTTTTCAGGCTCTCCATTCAAATGCCTCCTGCGGGCTTAAAGGCTCTAAAATTCTCAAGATTTCAGAGCCCTGTGGAAAAGCTAGACGCACATATCTCTGAGATTTTTGATCGCGGCGACCAAAAATCTCCGACGCTTGCGCGCCCCCCCCCTATCTCTGCCTCATTTATCTCTCTCTGGCTGTCTGTGCAGTGCCACAGCCACAGACCTGCGTAGCTCTGGCCGTCCAACTCCCTGCCTATCGGCGAATCGGAATAACGGTCAATTAGTCAGGGTGCGGGTCTGTCAATCTCTCCGTGTTTCGACCCGTCGTTCTGATGGTCTGTCGGTCTCGCGGTCTGAGGATCCATGAATCTATCAATCGAGCCGCGCCACTTTATTGAGGCATATGTCATTCTCGACTTAACCGTAGAATATCCAGACATTTATTCTTTGCTTCTTCAAGCTCTGAGAGGTCCCCCTAAACACCTGAGGAAAGAATGATTTTAGAGGACCCTGTAGCCCTTAGCAAATTGCCCAATCCCCGATCATAAGGAATCAAGAAATCCTGGACTAAGTTCTAGAGTGGCGATGCTCGAAACGAATCAATTTTTGATCTTCTGCCTATGTAATCACGTTGCCGCAAAGGTAGCACTTTCACTGGGCAGGAGTTGCAGGAACGCGCCCTGTCAACAATGAGTTAATTCGATTTTCTTTCCCGACCAATCCCCCCCGCCTCCTGCGTGAACATGGTGCTCAAGTCCAAGCTGTCAAGTCCACGGTTCGAGATCTGCATCACAAAAAAGATAGAACTTGGCAAGACGCTCGAGCTCCACCGAACATAGCATGCCTCGATATCGATGTCCTTCCGGAAGGATGCGATGCCCTGAGCAATCTCAATTGAGATAGCTTCATACTGCATCGAGCGCAATGACCTTCGTTCTCTTGACAGACCGCAGCAGCCAATGCAACGCCAAAAGGCCTTGGCATGGTCAGAGGTCAGCTGGACTGACAGAACGACAAGTACTATCGCCAGCGGTTTTCGACAACGCTCTGAGAATTGGACTGGATTCTGTCTGGCTCTTTATTTTGCCTGCGCTCAGCGAACCGCAACAACCGTTCAAAGTTCTGCATGTACATTAATACATATACATCTACATATCTATATATATATATGGCACTTGACCAGCACGCTGCCTTTCAGGCTGGCAGCACAATTGCCTGAGTCCAAAGCAGCGGACAAAGCGGGTGGACTGAAGTTCCACAAGCAGGTGGACGACCAGCTATGCCAAGCTTGTGGCGGACGAGTTTGTCTATCTGACGTGGCTTGACATTGGCCTTAGGTGACAACAAAGCCTTTATCACTGTATTGGAGCACTGCACAGTCAAATGGCATGAACCTCTTGGTGCGTCACATGATTCAGGGAAAGAATTAATGTCATCCAGCTCACACCATCTAATCTGGTGACTTGCTGAGCCTCCACACTAGTTGTCGTTAGCTGAACTTGTGCACTGTGCTAATGCTCTTGCAAAACTCTCCTCATCAGCAAGCTTCTGCATGGTGTCATCTTCCGCAGCTTCCAGCTTGACAAGCCTGAATCTTTCGGGCGGAGACAAGCGACACACCCCAGATCTTCGCTCAGCAAATTGACTAGCGCCTAGCAGCCTAGCAGTTTTCGCCTACTGCTGGAATTGTAAGTGTCCTGCGACCAAGCTAGATCTGGAAGAAGCCGTTCCGGGAACCTGTTGTCGAGGTACGTCTCAATATGTCTCCATGCTCACCAGGACAGTCCAACAGCGCCGCATGCACTGAAGACTTGAAAGCAATTTTCATTTGAGGCGTCGCCAAAACGTGCGCCTCGACATATCGGCGTCAGCCTGCGCAGCATGGCACCAGTAAAGGGTTGGAACTGAACGTGCTTCTGCCTGCTCCCTCAGCAAATGGAGGAAGTCCGGGTTCGGCCTGAGCCATCATGTCTGCGTTCGAATTACACTGCTCTGAGTCTTGCGGTCTTCGCCCCTTTTGAGTCTGAGCTAAGGGATGCGGCTTGCCAAGGCGAGCAAAGGCCCACGCCTCGCCAACACACCAAATTCAATATGTGACTGTGGCGAGAAACGGAAGATGACAAACATCTCTCCGTAGGGAGCTGTGTTGCGGGCCATTTTAACCAGGTCTTCTGGCAACGGCTTGGGCAGCTGAACGGCAGAAGCCTTGCCAAATGTGAGAGGCTGAAAGCCTGTGCGCCTGCCTGCGAAGCTCTGAGCCCGACACCGCAATAACATCTGTCAAGTCAGGTCCACCTCTCAGAGCTGCAAGGCTCCAGAGCACGTTAGCCAAGCCTGTGCCGGCGTTGTGCGTCACACGACATGTTATCACACTGACAAGTCTTCGATGTTTGCATTTGGTGTTGCCTGGATGTCAAATCTGAGCACGCAACTACGGAACGTGAACATGTCGGAGTGCTTTGAAAGCAACTCGCTGACAGCTTCCATGAAATCTGCGTTCCTGGACGGCTTTGCTAAGGTTTCAATCCCCCGCTGCTACAGCTTGGGTCTGTGTAATAACCCGGAAACATTCCTAAACCCTACACCCTACGTAACCCCATTGTAGTAGTTTCCATTTTCTTTTCCATTATCCTTATATAGTCGCTATATAGGCCCAATATATACCTTAATATATACCCCAAATAATCCCTATACAATCCCTATAATCCATATTCTTTTCCATATTACCCTATATTACCCCACTATACTAAAAAGTAGCTTCCGTTCTCTTTTCCACTATCCCAAAACAACCCCTAAATCCTAAACCCAACCCCTCTGGCCCAGACTTGTGGGGCCGGTACTCCTCTGAAGGCCAACCATGGGAGTCACGTCCAGTGTCAAAGTAGGCCGTGCGCGTACGTCATGGCAGACCTTCCTGTGATTTGGAAAGACATTGTTGGTACAACTCAATCCTGGATTCCTGGCAGTCGCTACCCCGCGTGGAGTTCAAAAAAGATTGTTTACTTTAGATGTCAGCCTGTACAAGAAGGACAATGTCGTGGGCCGATTTTGGACGTCCAATTGCCTTCCCTGGAACAATCTGCAAAGAGCCGCAATGTGATTTCTACAATGGAAGGGATATTTCTGCATTACAATGGCACGATGAATTTCCAGCCTGGGTTTACATATGTGCCCTGGGGCACCTTGTGCCCGATTTGGCACAGCAATGAGGCCATGTGGCACATCCAGATGCCGGCACAAACTGCAAAAAGTGGGGTTGCTAGAATGTTGGGTGCCCGTCAGTTGCCCATGGGGATTCGGGCCCTGGCACTCCTTCTGGAGGACTGGGTGGTTGGAGCAACGCCGTAGGCCATTTTCCTGACTGGAATGTGACTGCAACGATGGATTATGATGAGACCAGGCCTATCAACTTTGCACTGAATCATGATTTCCCACGACGACGCAGCCAGCCGGCTCTGATTTTACTGGAAAACGTGGCCGGATTTTGCCAGCATCATGAATAGGATGACTTCACTCAAGCCATGAGGGAAGCTGGATACGTACCCGCGTGTTCCTCGGTCCACGGCCTGGCCTGGATTTCTTTCGCGCCGTAGGTGGCTTGCCTTGTACATCAACACCTTGCAGGTTGATGACTGGCAGAGTCTTTCCCGTGTGATGCCTGTGCTTTGTTACGATGAGGAAACCTTTCAGCCCACCTTCATTGCCTGCATCTCATGTCAGCAATGCAAAGGGATCAGGTCCTGTTGCAACCAGACGAAGCTTTGATCCTGAGCGACCCAGACTGGCTGCAACAGTCACATGGCCAGGAAGGATGCGCTTGCCTTGCGTACCTGCAACCAAGGATCTGTCTTTCCTGTGGTTAATGCTGGGGAAAGGAGGGCCTTGGAGTTCCATAGGGACTGCTGCAACAAGGGCTGATGTCCTAACTTGCAGCAGATTCGCTCCCGCATGCCCTCTCCTTCTCTGCCATTGTCAGCCACATTAAGGGAGCTAGGTCTGATCCACAGCATGACCACGTTGAGCTCTGTGGATTGCGCCATGAGCAGATGAGGAAGCCCGGCGGCCCCTTCCGCTCACCTCAAATCCTGCGCCCACACTGTGGAAGAAGGTCCCAAGGTCCTTCTGTAGTTGCAACTTGGTAGCCTGCGCAGCCTGCATCACTGATACGTGCCAGACCTCGTGCAGACGTGTTGGTCTGCCCCAGTTGCAGGAGGACATTCCACATCAGCCTGGAACGCAATTTCCCCTGAAGCTTTCTTGCACTCCGCAGCAGCCCCCTACCTCAGACTCCTGAAAGAGGCGTTGGTGGCACTCATGGCAAATGGGTTTGCCCTTGGAGCAGAACATTACGAACATCTGCCACGCAGACTCTGCGTCCTCGTTGGTGGCACTCAGAGCAAAACCGGAGGGCATGACCCAGGAGTTGATCCCGACGACGCGGGCACAGTCCCTGAAGATTGTCGAGGCGCGCGTACATTATGTCATCATTGCGCTGGGCACGATACTCTGCCGAGATCTGGTCATTGCCTATGAAGAAAGCTACCTGCGGCGGCAGCTGCAGTTGTTGCCGCACATGCTCCAACGACCTGAAGGGCCCAAAGCAATCGCCATGAGCAGCAGGCCTTGGATGTAGCTTCCGCGCAAGAAAGTGCCTCAGCAGACTTTCAATGGGCCATCACATGCCCTTTGCAGCGTCAAGCGCAAACTGTTACGGCGCTGGCTTTCCCAGACATCGCTGCGCATGTCCCTAGGGACCTCCAGCCAGCAGGACCTGTTGACTGCTGCAGCTCATCAATTTGCAACGTGTTGACCCGCGCAGCCCTTTGCCGGACGATCCTTGCATCCTACGCCTGCGCTATCGCCTCAGGGGGGAACCAGAGGTGTGGAAAAAAGGACGTCATCCATAAGAGGCTTCGTGAGCACTTGGAAGCCAAAGGGGCCCCTCCTAGTCACTCGTTAGAAAGGTCCGCAGAAGTCTTGCAGACAGTTGGCCGCCGTCACGGCAGCGTACCAGTTTTTGGATTGAAAACGATTAAGCTTGTTATGGCGCATGAACTGAAGGAGGTCAAGCAAGGAGCCAAGAGTGAAAAGCCAACGCATTCTGAAGACTCTGGGTCTTGCGTGGGACCCATGGCGGCAGTCCTATCAGCCCAAGGACGATTCAAGGCGTCCCAAATTCCATGACAGTTGCTCTTGCGCTAGACCATTTTGCTGATTAGAAGGGGGACCCAGCCGCGATCTTGGAGCACTTGGCTACCAACAGCGAAGGAATTGCGCTCATGGAACAAGAAGAGGTTGAAGTCCTGGCATGCCCAGAAATCCTGTTGTCTGCAGCATGCCTTGCTGCAGTTGTCATTGGCACACAAGCTCCAGAAACAGACAGCCTCCTCTTGGGCGCCATCACCTTCCCGGCAGTGTGTCAGGACAGCACGGTTCTCCGTAGGGGGCCCGCGGTTAACTCTGGCCAGCACCAAGCGCCACAGCCAGGGCTAAGCGTTGTGGAGATCGCGGATGTCTCAGTCATCCATGTCGAGCTGCGCAAAGAATACCTCCTCGACTGGGGCACTGCGTGTAAGAACCACCTCAAGTACTCCTACAATGTCGTTGACGCTTGCAGAAAGGAGGTGCCCAAGGAACAAGCCACCTCCTGACACGCCTTCCTTAAGATCCAGGCGCAGCAGCTTGAAATTACGCTGGCGTGCTCAGGTGAGGGAGGTGTTCTCATCACGCCCAAGGACCCGCAAGCAAGTGTGTCCTTAGGAAGGTTCAGGGTTGCACGGCTTGACAAGCAACGATATCGAGAAAGCCACCAGAGTTGTTGGGCATATATGGACTCGCAAGCTCAGCATATCTGCCATACGCTGCGTCAGAGCAGGCGTTCACCTGGCGCCTCTCCCCTGACCGCCTGACCGCGAATAAGGCATCACGCGCAGGGTGACAGCTTGCGTTCTTCTACAGTATTGGCCTAGCAGACTCTTGCATTAACGATGGTCACTGTACTGGACAACGCAGGTGTTCGATCCAGTATGGGTGGAACCTGTTCCTTTCAATTAGTCTTTGGTTGCCTACAATACCAGTGCCAATTACACCCGAAGCAGCGCGCCCGCCGGCAAAAAGCATCAGAGCGTGTCTGCTGCTTCGCATGCGTTCTTCGAGAACCATGCGGGTTATTTCAGTGCCTTGGGACCAGTCTTCTCAGCGCATGAGCCTCTTATTCCAGTGACCAAGGGGGCTTGCGTTGGGCCGGCCAAAAAATCCTGGCCTGCGGAGTATTCAAGTATACAACGTAGCGTCAGCGTCAAAACACCTGGAAGACATTGCTCAACCCGTGGACTGCGTGGCATGGTCTGAGACCTCTGTCACCAACATCCAAGCCGATCACACAGCGCGACTAGCTCACAAAGCCAAACATTTCGCCACGTTTTCAGCACACACGCACGTGCAGGGCGTAAGCTTATTGAAAGGGGAGGCCAAATGGAAGCGCTTGGCAGAACCTTGGACGCAATTGGCCCCGTTGCAACAGCTACAGGTTGGCTTGCGCCGCGCAGAAAACAGTCACCCAGCCAAATTCCGTGTCCAAGACCTTGCTTCAGCACAACCTGGAGCTCGCTGCGTCGTTCGGCAAGCTTCAAGCAACAGTCGTGGAAGTTCGTGGCAACATATTGCAACACTTGACAGGCCGGCATCGGCGCAGATGACATGAACATCAGTGTGGCAGCAGACAGCCTCAGCAGACCCTGTGTTCTTTGCTGATCAGGTACAGACGTACTGGGACAGCTTTGGAACGCTCCAAAACCCCCAGATTTACGCAACGCCGCACATTCAAGCTTTTGACGCCACTTTGACAGTCAGTGAGTGACCTTCAGTACGTCATTCGGAAACTGCCACAGCAAAAGGCCAGAGCAACGGCGAGCTTAAGCTCTTGACTTCCTCGGATCTCCAACTGCAACGACAGACATGGCCAAGCACATTGAACGATGCCGCAGTCACTTTGCTGGCAAATGTCCATGTCTCCAAAACAGGCGCGGCCTATCACGGTCCTCCCCACTCTCTATAGACTGCAGGGGAAGGCCATGCCCAGAAAATATTTGCGGCGATGTGGCAGCGTCCCAGGCCGTAGCGCCGAAGAGGCGGCGTGGGAATTGCAATCGTGCGTT